GTTGGTTCATATGGATTTTTCACTTGTCTACAAAGTTGTGTTAACATGGAAGTGTCGGAATATTTGGTATTTAAGTGTCTGGTTCACTTAGTGTCATTCACAACAAGTTTGAATGCTGTGTCGATATGCAAAGATGAGAAATAGAGTCTTATACTGTATCTGTTTATAATCGCACACAAGGTCAGAAAACAATGTATATTTGCAAGAAAATAAGCTAGATTTTTTACGCTGTGACATTTAGATTTTTTCAGTCGGTGAATTACAATTATAAAAAGTCTGTTCAGAATTACTTCAGTATAGAAATGATGAGTTATCTCCCCTAGAATATAGAAATTACTTCAGTATAGAAATGATGAGTTATCTCCCCTAGAACATAGAATCCAGATTGACCTTCACCTATACTTCTTTACCTCCTTATTGTTCCAGAGATTGAGTATATTGGTTTGTTGGTACTGGTTGAGTGTGGCTACCATTATATAAGAAAAACCTATGTTGCCCATTACTGAAATTGACCCTATAATAGTATATCGGCTAGATATTGTATTTTTATCGTAAATAGAAATTGTGAACTTGTTAAGATCGAGAGCCAGCAAATACATGTGACATGGGATAAATTGTTGTACATGGAGAAAAAATTGATGTGATGTTGAAAGAATTTGTTGGAGAAAACGTTGTCTCTTTTGTTTGAAGGAAATATTAAATTAAGATAATTTATGAATTAAATGTTATATCTCTTTGTTTAGTTTAACACGGTAGTTTAGTTGTAGGACGCCGGGCTCGTGACCTGAGGGTTACGGGTTCGAGTTCCAGCACAGTACTGTATTAATGTATCTTTGAGCAAGATGCTTTAATTACTCCGTTTGTTCCAGTCTACCCAGCTGTAAATGCGTATGTGGTTAGGCAGTGCTAGAATTGTAGAATGCTAACTGTGAGCGCCGAAATGGCAGCACCAGCTGTATGCTCCCCAGAGAGTTGAGAAAGATGTTAGCTGGTTGCAAAGACCATATAACCACAGCTAATATTTTGTGAACCACTTTGAGACATATGAACTAGGTTGTGATAAAGCGATGTATATAAGAACCTGAAATTATTATTATTATTCAGATAGAAAAAGAAATTAGAATTAATTCAAAAGGAAAAGAACTTCAAGCTGACCATACTTACCTCAACTGTTTGCTTTGTATCCCCGTTCATTACTGCAGGCTTACGAGGAATTTAAGTTTAGATTATAAATTTAATAAGTTCTATAATCCTTATTCCTGCACGTGAGATTTAAAAAACGGGTATTAATAAAAATCAGTTACGGCGGGGATTAAAACTAGAAAATTTATTAGTCACCAAATGAAACCACCAGCATTCAAGACCTATCAATGTGGTTTGCGAAAAGTGACTGTGTGTTTTCAATGGTTTAAGAGGCTTATGGATTTGATTTTTTTTCTAGTAGGCTTCCAGACGTTAGTAAAATAACAGGTTGCTGAACGTATGAGTATAATAATTTGCTTTAAACCCTTCGCACCAGTGGGGTGTTAGAACGTTGATACGGAGGCTGCGTATCGCTGGACAGTGTTACTGGTTAGAACGTTGATTCGGAGGCTGCGTATCGCTGGACAGTGTTACAGTTCTATAGTAGGCAGTACATTTAGGACGGAGGGAATTTTTGTCGTTTTAAATATGGTACATGTAAGAAGAAATCAATAGATTCCCGAGTGATTCTGTATCAGATTTCCAGTAAACCTCTGTTGTTCAATAGGAAGAGTTGTTCTGTGCCTTTCCATATATGATGTTTGCAATCTGATGGATTCCGACACAGTTTATTGAAAACGTTCTCTGAAATGGAGGTAAGTTGTATATATAATAACATAATAGGTGACTTGAGATGGCAGTGGACTGTTTATTAGTAGTAATCAGATTTACATGTCTCTGTACGTATACCTGTGGATACCACATGTGTGTCAGGTATTCTTATAAAGATACTGTCATTTTTTCACCGTCAGAAAAAATAGTTGTATGTGTATTGCATTCGTTGCAATTTTTGAGAAATAAATTTTGAAATGTTTGGTATTATTTTGGGAGTGAAGCTTTTTAAGTCTGCTGGGTTGTGACAATTTATCTACAAGGTACCTTTTATTTACACTTGTAACTTTCGAAAGAATTGATCTACCCACAACTACCCATTTGTACACCTGTATTTTAGATATAATTGATCAACTTTGATTTGCACCTGTGTGTTGAGAAGAGTTGATTTGATCAACTTGTAACATTTATTTATACACCCTTAGTTTGAGGAGAATTGGCCTACCTGTAACTTTCATTTAAACACCTGTATTTGGGGGAGAATTGTTCTACCTGTAATTTTCATTTGTACACTTGTATTTAGGAGTATAATTGATCTACCTGTATTTGTACACCTGTATTTAGGGGTAAAGTTGATCTACCTGTAACTTTCATTTGTACACCTGTATTTAGGGGAAGAATTGATCTATGTGTACCTGTCATTTGTACACCTGTATTTAGGGGTAGAATTGATCTACCTGTATTTGTACACCTGTATTTAGGGGTAGAATTGTTCTACCTGTAACTTTCATTTGTACATATGTATTTAGGGGTATAATTGATCTACCTGTATTTGTACACCTGTATTTAGGGGGAGAATTGTTCTTCCTGTATTTGTACACCTGTATTTAGGGGTAGAGTTGAGCTACCTGTATTTTTACACCTGTATTTAGGGGTAGAGTTGATCTATGTGTACCTGTCATTTGTATACCTGTAGTTAGGGGTATAATTGATCTACCTGTATTTGTACACCTGTAGTTAGGGGTAGAATTGTTCTACCTGTAACTTTCATTTGTACACCTGTATTTTGGGGTAGAATTGATCTACCTGTATTTGTACACCTGTATTTTGGGGGAGAATTGATCCAACTGTAACATTCATTTGTACACCTGTATTTTGGGATAGAATTGTTCTACCTGTAACTTTCATTTGTAAACCTGTATTCAGGGGTGTAATTGATTTACCTGTATTTGTACACCTGTATGTTGGGGGAGAATCGATCCAACTGTAACTTTCATTTGTACACCTGTATTTTTGGGGAGAATCGATCTACCTGTATAGACCTGCTGTCATTAGGTATAAAGACTACGGGTAGATAATCAGAATTACCTGAATTGTGTCGGCAGATCAGATAGTCGGATCACCCCTAATGATCTAAGACGATAATTTCTTATCTCTTAAGCTGAGAATCTTTAAAAAAGTACAAATTGGAGTGTTCCCCAAAAGGTAAATAAAAATGCTTGGATATCTGTGTTATATAATAAGTCAACAATCCTTAGGAGGATTTAATGATATACTGACAGGTCTAATTACAAATGTCTTACCAGGTATTCCATTAACTGACTAAGGGAGGACAACTCTTGAAAGATTTTCAGGGGCTGTTGTGTAATGTTTAATACTGAACAATCTAGGTTTCATCAACCAGAATAACGAGAGAAGTGATTTGTTAAAATGAGAATAATTTTCACAAGGTTTTGGTTTAAAACAACATTTCTAAATTTCTCTTCAAGTTATAAGACATCTTTAATGTATTACCTATGTACAGTTTATTGAGAATGATGTTAATAAATAAATCTTTGTTTCAAATTCCATGAATGACAAGTGTTAATACTGAAAGTCTATTGCAGTAATTTATATATGGACATGAATATATTAATTAAATGTGTAAAGGAGGCTGTTGGACAAAACAAACATGGATCCCGGAGGGCCTGCTTGATTCCTTGAATGAAGTCATACCTATAGTCTGTATAAATTAACGGCTAGTGTAAGATTTATTCCAATTCACCGAAGGATCTTAGATGCCGGAGACCACATATTTAGTAGAATTACTATCACTTTTTTTATTTGCATACTAAGATGATTTGTATTGTTGACAGTTTATTGGGGTTTCCAATCAATAATACACAAAACAAGGGATATTTTAAGATAGACTTACACAATTTATCCTATTACGAACAGAAAGCTTTTGATTTATTCATTTCAGCAAAATTTGAAATCTAGAAATGTTGTTTTAAGATAGTGGGTTTTTACTACATTTATACATATAGCCTGTTGGAACTTTATACAGATTGTGGACAGATTGTGGACCACTGTTCTTTTCACAGTAGCCTCTTCAAATACTTGAAATTTGATCCATGAAGCTAATGGAGTTATTAGCTGTGATTATTGATTAATGTGTCTGGTAGAGACTGCATACCCCAGTCTGAGTTATTGTGTACAAACATATATGTGATATGGCCCGTCTAAAAATTCACTTTGGGTTTAAATCTAGCAGCATACATTTTACCTGTGGATTGTGTCATGGTTAAGGTTATATGCTACCTAACAAAATATACCTGGGATTTGTGTTAAGAGTTAAGGTTATATGCTACCTAACCAAATATACCTGTGATTTGTGTTAGAGTTAAGGTTATATGCTACCTAACAAAATATACCTGTGATTTGTGTTAAGAGTTAAGGTTATATGCTACCTAACCAAATATACCTGTGATTTGTGTTAAGAATTAAGGTTATAATATGCTACCTAACCAAATATACCTGTGATTTGTGTTAAGAGTTAAGGTTATATGCTACATGTAACTTACACAATATATATGTGTTTTGAGTTAGAATTAAGGCTATCTGCAACTATACACATCACACTATTGATTCGTGTTTGGAGTTATTTCCCTTGAAGGTAAAATTGCATCGATTTGATTATAAAATTTTAATGATAGATGTATAAACATGGCCCCCTTATTATGAATATAAAATTAAATATACATATTTCTAATGCTAATAGTGAATAATTGATTATATTCACATTTAAATATACATATGATGCATAATAACTAATCTAATTAGTTTTACATGCCATTATGAATATTTAAATTAGATTTTTATATCCATATATTTGGTTTTGAATATTCAGTATGATTTGCATATTTATGATTTTTTTTTTTTTACAGACGTAAGCTGCTGAAGCAGCTACACCCGAACAAGCGTCAGCTGCGTATGTGGGATCCGGAGGTGATCGCCATGAAGCAGGAGTCGCTAGTACGACAAGTCTATGGTCAGTACAAAAGAATTCAAATTAGGAAGGGAATAAGTATGGGATGGAAGATTTTGTCACTTTATTTTTTTTCTTAATATATGATGATTAATATAAAATTCTGGAACAAAATTTAAGTTTCTTTCTTCTGTTTCGTGAAATAGCAGGATAAGAGCTGAATATTTTGATAGAAAATGTGTTTCCTTCGGCTGGACATAGTCATCATGAATGATAAATAGAATCTTAAACATAAGAGGAGCATTTTCGTTGACTGGTATATACTTAAACATTACACAAAAGACTGTAGACAATGATAGCAAAATACAACTGATGTTAACCATTAATGATGTCTTTAACAAAATCCTGACTCTGTATTTCCACCTTTTAGGAGAAAACCTCCCAGCCCCATTCTGGCACCCCATCCCCAAACGCCCAGTACGGCCATACTACACAAGGTGGATCCCATCTGCTGCAGGTTTGTTTATTTTAGAGTCCCTATATAGCACAGTAAAACATTATATTCACATTACATAAAATCCAATATGTTTAAATTCTATTCAAATTTTTCTTGATGGTTCCGCAAAGTTCAAAACATCGTAGTTTGATGGTAATTGAAATAAGAATGTCATCTTTCTTCTTTAAAGCAACGTCCTATAACTTTGCCGTGGATAGATACCATCCGCTGATGGCCAAGAAGGGCTACCTCCCGACCCCTTTCCTGGACATGATGGGACACCCAAGGGACTTCAACTGGGGTCCACTGGAGGATGAGGAATTCAATGGTAGGCTTATGTAGCCACGATAATCTCAACGCTTAGGGTTCCCATTCAAAATGGCATTTGCCATGATGTTGAGGGACGTTACAACTCCTAGCTGTCCGAGGACATTCAACCCACTCATGTTTTTATAATGGTTGTACAAAATGTGTTTTAACATATGCATGCAGTTCGTTTTTTTTGCTTAATTTCCATCATGAAAGAATCCATGCAAGAAATATAGTAAAAACATTAATATACTGCCACCATGTGTCCAGAGAAAATTTGACACTATAAATGGGGTTTGGCGGTAAATTGAGGGAAATGTATAAAGGAATTCTTATTGACAGTTAAATATGTTGGCAGTAAATGAGTTGTCAAATCTAGCGAGGGGCATTATATCAAGGTTTTACTGTACCCTGTAAAAAAGTAAGCTTTTAGCCAATTCAAGTTATGATATATTTTAATATGTTTACGTAGATCTAGTAATACAGATTAAGTTTCTTTTTCGTTGAGCACAATGATTCTGATTTTACCCGTTTTGTTTTTAGAGGAACTGTGCTATTTTTATTTTTATTTTACTCAATATGTTTGTAGAGAAACTGTACAATATTAATTTTGGTTTCACTTGATTTGTTTGTAGAGAACTTGCGCTATATGCGGGTTCCAAGTACAGCTGGAGCGAGGCAGTATTCCTATCACATGAGTCGTACCAACACCACCTCAGGAACTGTTCCAACGCGTAACTCAAACAGGATGTAACCAGGGAAACAACAAGCTGCTGCTATGGCAACAAATATAGTTTATCATGTGACCGTGGCTACATCAGACAGTCACAACGGAAACAAGTGTATTAAAAGTTAATCAGTCTATCATCATGGCAACAACCAGCTGCTGATATGGAAACAGTTTTGTTACCATGGCAACAACCAAATGCTGCTAAAGAAACAAGTGTAATTATAATCATATCGTCTCTGTGGTTACTTTAAAATGGTTAATGTGACCATTAAACAGTTGAATAGCAAGTGTTACTACATTATCAGGCTTGTGGTAATAAATTGTTACCATGACAACCAGGAAACTGTATACAATTGTTGCCATGGTGTTAATTGATCAGAACCAAGTAGTCTCCATAGTGATGTTAAACTTCAACATTTACGTCATGTGATGCATTATGGGAAATAATGTCAATAGAAAATTATATGGTTGGATTAAGGTAGAGAGTCCCAGCGCTGTGTGTTGTATATCTCCAACAAAGAAGAGTTCAAGTTTATATCTGACTTGAAGTAATTTCTAGACTTCTTGATAATAAAGCACAGAGCATTTCCATTGCGCTAACGGACAAAATAATTCTAAAGTGGTACAATTCCTAACAGCGCTTGTTGAAACATTGAAATGCCATTTAGAGGCCAGCATTAAGTAGAAAAGTTGTGGGACTCTTTTCCTTAAATTGTTATTCTTGGCTGTTTTAAAACAACTTCCAAATAATTTTCTGAAAAATTTTAGGGAATACTTGGTGAAGTACACTTATGTATGTATTCTTCAGATAGAAATGTTTCATGTTAAGTGCTTGGATTACATATATATATGAGGAGTAGAAATAGTATTGTGCCATGTATTTGCCAAATTTATCTGAATAGATTTTTTTTTACGAGATACTACATATACATGTTATAAAGGGGAACAATTCAAATTAGAAACTACGAAAAATGGGTGTTGACCTGTACCTTGGCTGTTTTACTGCTATTGGCCGTGTACGAATAAATTATCTCTCAGCAGATCAGTTTAATTCAATGTCATGTATTTTGATCTATCTTAAAAGATAATATACTTTCCTATTTATGTATCCTAAGTTAAACCTCATCTCCTGCCCTTAAATTCAAATTTGTAATTGGTAATTTCAATCTGCCAGAGATTGTCTGGAATCAGGATAAAATTTGATCCATGGAATTTATATGATATAAATACAATCTCAAGTAGCTGTAGGTTTCAAATTAGCACGGTAGCTGTTGAACCACTAATCCTATACATTGTTATGTATTGATGTATGCGACTCTACCTGTTCCCAAGATCTTATTAGCAGCGTTTTTGTGTGGCAGAAGTAGATTTATTTTTACCAATGTTTTTTTTTTATCTTTCCATATTAAAGGTGCCTTTTATAATTGATTTAGGATGATGATGTCTCTAAAATGTAGTTCTAATAATTTAGACAAAAATAAGAAGGTTGACTCATTGTATTTTTTGTTTGATAAGTTGAGGCCATATAGTTTGTGATTTACTCATTTTAAACGTTATTTGTACAGGTTTAGAATTTCCTCGTTAACTTACCTGGCCTTACATGGACAGGTAGGAAATATTTGTTGTTTGTACAGGTAGAATTTTCTCATTCTTATCTGTCCTGTGTACAGGTGGGTATCTTGGTTAACTTATATTACCAGATTGCCTCACTAACTTACCTGTCCTTCGTATGTATAAGATATCTCGTCAACTTACCTGTCCTTTGTACGTATAAGATATCTCGTTAACTTACCCGTCCTTTGTATGTATAAGATATCTCTTTAACTTACCTGTCCTTTTTATGTATAAGATATCTCGTTAACTTACCTGTCCTTTTTATGTATAAGATATCTCGTTAACGTACCTGTCCTATTTACAGGTAGGATTTCTTTGTTAACTTACCCGGCCTTTGTACCTATTAAGGTATCTTGTTAACGTACCTGTCTTATTTACAGGTAGGATTTCTTTGTTAACTTATCCAGCCTTTGTACCTATTAAGATATCTCATTAACGTACCTGTCCTTTGTACGTATTAAGATATCCCGTTAATGTACCTGTCCTATTTACAGGTAGGACTTGTTTGTTAACTTACCTGTCATGTATACCTGTTTAAGTTGTGTGAACGTCATCACGCCTTTAGTACAATTTTTTTTTTACACAATGTGTCATGTTAAATATTCCCAGTTCATTTTAATATCATTGTACTTTTTATCCAACTTTGCCTTTAGACCTGGTCGGTTTGGTTAACTAATCAAACTGGAATCTGTGTAGGGAAGCTATGTGTATATTTGGGTTCAGTGGAGAGTTAGGGATAGCGGTAATTACATCCAGCATCTCTTGCAATTTAGTAATGTTCTAAAATAAATAGAAGACCTGCAACATTTCCTAGGGTACTTATGAGGTATAACTGATTTTTATGAATTCTCATATTTCTATTAATTTGGACAATTTGAAAGGTTAAAAAGAACAGCAATATTCCAGTAAATGTATATACAGGAACAATAATTTGAAAATTATTCAAATTTATTCAAAACATTAAATTTTTATGTAGTTTGAAATTTTATGTGAATTTTGTTTTAATTTATGATTTAAGTCTCATTGAGGAAACGAGTCTGAGTTTGCAGGTAATTTCAATAGAATATGCAGCTGTCTATATTTACAAATCACATCTTTGTAGAACCTGCTAATTTTTATTATTATGCAAAATATTTATTTTCATATTATTTTTGTATTATACCAACAGAAAGGGTTGTTTATCCATTAATGTAAACAATCGGTTTACTTACCAGGTAACTGAGTCACTGGTTCTATTCTGGATGTGTATTTTATCAGTAAATTACACAGACACGAAGGATTGGAGTTGAAAAGAGAAATTCTGTAAAGTTTCAATTTCAAATGATTTATAAAATATCTTTAAGTAAGAAAACATTTATTTCTGTCTGCAGAGCATATTGTTGTTTATTATATGAATCATTTTCTTTGTTATTTGCACGAAGTCTGAATCCGTCCATTTTGTAAAATCCAATCAGCTGACTGTGATAAATGTATTATGCAGCCCTTGCACCCCTCTTTTACAATACATTGGAATGATCCTTCAAGGACCGGTCTAGTGTATATAAGGGGGGTGAAGGGTTAAAAATGAAATGAGTTTCACATTATATGTCTTATTGCTAGATTTATGTTTCAAATTATAAAAAAAATATTGTCAATCAATTTCTGTTGTCTTACAAGAAACGTTATAAAATAGAAATATTTATTAAATCTTTTGTTTGTGTTGTTTGTTAGAAATTGCATGTGCAAAGATGTTCAAGTTACACAGTAAATTTAGACCTAAACAAGGATATCATTGTTTAACAAACAAAGTCTACCTACAAATCTTCCCCTGTATAACAGACTAAAGTCTTCCCCTGGATAACACCAGGCTAGGCTAATTGATTTAAATGGTTTTTTTCTTGAAAGCATATATAAATTCTCTCTTGAAACTTATATACATGTATGCAATTACTCTGCATGGTTGTAACAGCATTATACAGCAAAGTTAAGTAGGGATACTCTTGATACATAACTACATATGTGCCCTTTATATTTTAGTGATAATCCCCCTTTTTGGTTGAGTTGCCTCCCTTCCACGAAATACACCCTGCACCAATTCAAGAGACTAGTTTCCTTCTGTCAGTTTTTGACAATCTGTGAAGTTTGAATTGTTGATTAGAATTTTTAAAATTTACCAGCATTGAGTCTGTTGAGATTTATGAAGATAAGTTGCCGACTTTTATAATTATAATGTTAAATTTGACGAGTCTATTGATCACTGATTAGCTGGATGTACATGTAGATAGTTTCCTTGGTGTGTGTGCAGGAGTCATATTTAATTTAGCCAATCAGATATTGTCTATAATGTTAAGCCGTTCAACATTGAGACAGTACATGTACTTGATTGGATGTGTTCATTCACAGATAGCTCAGTTGGTTAGAAGTCTGTCTAGAGAACTGAGGTTCAAGGTCCGAATCCCAGTGTTGCAGAAACGGTTTGTAACTCAGACGGCTGTGTTAAGTGCCCAACTAAATGTGATATCATTTTGTGCATCTTTGGGATCATTTTGTCGAAGAAACTGGAAAAGTCTAGTGGACTGGGTCAATATTGTCAGCGACCAGATAGCTCAATTGGTAGAGCGTCCGTCTAGAGCTTGGAAGGTCCCGGGTTCAAACCCCAGTCTTGCCATGCATTTTTCCTCTCCTATTACAGTGGTGCCTCTGACTAATCCTTGTTTCAAGTATTATGTGTATGCTTAGCAAGGGGATACCCGAACCTGGGTTGTAAATAGTTGTGTCTTTGGGGGCGACTACTAAAGTAACATAGGGGTGAAAGGGCTAAACCGCTGAACAACCCGCTAAGCCACAATGTGCCAAATCTGTAAAGTCAGCTGTCGGAAATCATAGACATTTCGCCCACTAGCACTCTTATACGTACTGCAGGCAGTCAGGGGGACGGGTAACATGTTAACCCATTCCGCCCCTAGTGGATATACAATAAAAGATGTTCACCCACATTCAAATAACAACAAACATATTTCGATTAAATTTAGCAAGTTTTTTAATCATTTTTTTTTTTTTAATGATCAGAAGCACTTTTTAAAATTTTTAATTTGCATGGATTTTTAATACATTATATACAACAAATTATACATAGTTCAACCTACCCATACACATATATGTTCTGATCTAGTTGTACAACAGACCTTTATATATAAGGTACGAGCAATTATCATACATGTATGTACAAAGCTATCTACAACACAAGCCAACATATACAATAAGTGCTAAATTAAACTTGCAATATGTTAATTAATTTAATTAAAAACAATATATCAAACTTGATAATAATAATAATAAGCTATAATAATAAGCTAATTTGTATAAGCATCACAGATTTGCATAACAAGACATGAGAAATTAGCCAAGTCAATTGGCAGTTTGTAAATATATATTTATTATATACGTTAATGTATTGTTTGTATCAAAAATCACCTGTCAACCCCCATATCACAATATAGAATATTCCAATAACATTTGGAAAGGGAAGGTTCACTTTTGAATTAGGGGGTGAACAGAAGATTTCATGATGGATTAAACTCAAGTCTTTTTTTTAGAGAAACCTTGGTATTACCTGAGGTTGTACATTTTCTTTGGAAAGATTTTCAATTGATTAATTACACATTGATAAAGAAATTTTGTCAGAACTGAAAATAGGCCTTTACTTTTAAATCCGTAGAGAATAATTAAGTGTCAAGTCTTCAAACTTGAAACATGTTTGATTGATTGATAGGTTTTACGTCCGCTTCACTAACGAGATATACTGCTCAAACTAGGCAAGTCCATAATTAATTTTCAATAAAAATACAATCCAGTACAGGCCATTTTATATATAAACATGTTCAGAAGAGAAAAAAGTCTTTCAAACATGTCAATGTTGCAGCTTTTTCAATACATAAAATGAGTTGACTACAAAGTCATATTTCACTATACATACCAAATCTAAAGGCCATAGCTGAAGTTCAAGCTTATATTTGGATTTGTAGGTGCTGTTTTTATTTTAATTTTCTTACTTAAAAAAGAAAAATATTTATTTAACTCCAAAGGTGAAAATGTAAATTTAGTTAGCATTTAGGTTAGCGTTTATAGTTCTTCTTCTTACGATCATGAAGTCATATCGAGATTACCGTTAAAGCACGTATATTGAGTATAAGCATTTTGCAGGGAGAACTACAGGTATTAAAAACATTATGCAATAAGTAAGAAGTATACAATAATTCTACATCTCTGAGGCCACGATCCCGATTAACACTACACCAAAGAAAACATCAGTGTCTTTGATTTTGAAAGCAGAGTTGATTCATGTTTATATAAAATGTGTTAATACGACATTAAAAGCACATTCTTACTTAAAAAATACAGGATTTATGAAATTACTGTCAAGGAGTTGTGCTTATTGAAACTTATGTGATCAGCTAAGCCTGCTTTAGCTGGGTACCTTTGAATATATAGTAACACAGATTTATAAGTAGGTGGATTCCAGTATCGGAAGTGGTTTTAGAAATAAACCTGATGTTTTTGGTTAAATGTGCTTAAAGGCTGATTATGAAAAATGACAAGTGACTATATCAAAAATGTTACAGAAATTCACATATAGTTACCTCCAAAAGAGAAGAGTTTTAATAAAGGTGAATAATTCTTCTATATGAATTACAAAATTAATTAAAACACATGGATCGTTCCAATAAATCAAAGATGATTTGTTTGATACATAAAAAATTATATTTTAGTACAACACATAAGTACGTACAACATAATCGTACACCTTGCTGTGATAATCATCCAAACACTGCTCTATCTGTGTAAAAAAACAGTAATGAAACAAAGATAAACATGCATTTCTTTTTGTCCTGTTATACATGATAAGTATTCATTTGTATGTTATGAACTTATCTATGACATACAGTGATGTCATAAAATGGGAATAAAATGATGTCACAGAATTCAGGATTATAGTTACGACGTCACAACAGAGACAATAGATGTACAGTCAAGGTGTCTGAATTTCAGACTTTCAAGAATTAAGGGATTTAACTTTCATGCAATTATCAGAGAGCATAATTCAGTATAAAACCAAAATCACACACAAGTTTCTGTAAAAAGTTACATTTTTTTTTTTGCAAAAATCTTCAAAATTTGTTTTTCTTTTAAATCAGATTTAGTTCATACACAGTTTTGGATGATTGCCATACAATGAGACATCACAAAATGGGTAACGGGCACATGTCAACAAATCATAATATTGGATTATCGTGAGACCGTTATGTCACATGATATAATTGTCATGTCAGACAGAAAACAATGTTATCCTGACTTACAACAATGTCACCAATAAAAAAGCCTCGTATAGAAATTAACTGTTGGCAACATTTTAAGTGTTAGTAAAGAAAATATGCCCGCTTGTATCACCAACATAGACAGTGCTTCGTTCTTGTGATGAACAAATCTAAGATTTTATAGAAATAATGGAAAAATTGCCAAAAAAGTAGGTATAGCTCCAAATCGAAACTAATCTTAATACAGTGTACTCCAAAGCCATGTTTAAACAATCTTAATACAGTGTACTCCAAAGCCATGTTTCAAACAATCTTAACTCTTCTTTGAACTAAAGGTACAACTAGACATCTATAGTTCAACTAACTTATGAGGTCATGATGACTCTTCAAGTGTACTCTTGGAGTTATCCCCCCTTTTAGAACTCTTTCAGAAGAAGGTGCAGGGTCAAGTTTTTGCATATAAACTACATCAAAATCAAATAGGAAGGCCTGTGATGGCAAAACAATGCTAATCTTCAAGGTTGCGCTGCCTTTTAGAAATAAATCACATGCTACCAACAAAACATAAGCTTGAACAATTCAGCAACACACTGGTATTGAATATTCACTAATATATATATATATCAATGTATGAATGAATATTCACAAATGATTGACAGCTTCAAACATTGGCCAGAATCTATTCTAAATCAACCAGATCAATGTATATCCTGTATGAATAGCTTACCAAGCGTTAACATTCTGACGTAGTTCATTAGCTAAGTAATAAGTTCACAAGTCTCGGACTCCAGGTATTAAGCAGTTTAGTTATATGTATATAGTCTATAGCTGTAGTGTTGATGAATTCTATTCTGTCTCTATTAAAATACAGAAAGTATATGACACAAAAAATTGCAAAACATATCTTAAGTTTGTATGAAAAAATAGTTTTAAGAATGTTGACAATGGTTTCTTTAAAGAAAACTGGATTTTTATCTACCAGGTAAGTTGAGTATGTGAAAAAAATGGAAGCACCGTATTTTTAAAGACCTGGAATTAGACATTAATATTGCTGAAGTTTTAATCTCAATGTGTTGGTCATCACAACAGATGCATACCGTTCGGTTTATTGCAGCCTCTGGAAGTGCCAGTCCATTAGACAGTTATCTCCCTTTGTAGAATGACAAGAGCACAGCTTAACAAATAATTATCTCCCTTCATAAACAATTCAAGCAGTTATCTCCCTTTATAAACAATGGGAGCACGAGTCTGTTGAACAGCTTTCTCCCTCTGCACATAATGGAAGCGCCAGTTTATTTCCAAACAGTTTTCTCCCTTAGTGAGACATACATAAGTTAATCAAAGTGTGGATTTCTCTAAAAAAGGTCAACATCCTTCTTCAGCTGGTGTTGCTGCCATTTAGGAAGTGCGTAAAACGCATCTTTTGTCATTCCTAATGTCTCTTCAAATTCTTCGTCTATCAAGTATTTTTCTAGCTTCAAGGGGTCGACTCCATCTGGCAGAGGGCGCTCCTGTAGTTCAACGAACGTATAACAGGCCTTGGTCATTTTCTCAAGAATGTCATGCAGGGAGACCATCTCACCGTCAGTTTTACCTTCCTACAAACAAAAAACAAAGTCTATATGAGTATTTGTTGTCTACAGAAATAATAGCCTGACTTATCTTTCTTGAATCACTAGTATTGTAAGACACAAGACCTCTGTGGGGTCTAACATCATTTATCATACAATGTTCATCAATTTTCCCCTTACTGCTCATTCCTTTATTAGCCCTGATATTACTTAAATCTGTTTTGCAATATTAATCTTATTCCTTAACCCCTGACCTTGTCGTACGATCAGTGTCCTTGACCCCAAATATTGCCATGGAACCGGTTCCCTGATCTCTACCTTTTAACTTAGGGTGCACATCTCAACTTGCCTTCATTTCCAATTGGTAACTGATGTCTCCTGAATTTTTCCTAGAATATTTATCTTGAGCCCTAATTAACTTACCATAAATATTTGCATAATACAATTGTAGTGCACATTTTTTAAGGGGAAAATTGTAACACCAAGAAAGGGGTGCACACTATATACATGGGCACACTATATACCAGTCCTGGGTCGCAACCATTTAGCATAATTTTTCTGAATTATTGGAAATATTTCGAATTATACTCGCAGCAATGAAACTGCTAAAACTTTGTGTAATAACTCTTGATTGCATCGTCTATTTTACCACAACAAAGAGTTGTAAGTTAAAGTCATACTATGTACACGATAAAATCAGTGCCATGAAGTTGGCTATACTGATCCCTTATCTACCAAAGAAACATCCTGAACCCTATTTGACCCCAATATTGGTGTGCTTGACCCCTAATCTTACTGGGTGTCACGAACATTAAAACTTACCCTGAGATTGATTGTGTTGACACTCTCGTCGACCTCCCAGTAGGGGAACACGTTGGTGAAACATGTGGGCTCGAGACCGGCATGGACAGCGTAGGCTGAGGGGGGGTTGTCGGGGTTCTTCTCTGGAACACAAATCACACAACTTAGTACTTCTTTTAAACTCAGTGACCCCTAAAGACACATTTGAACTCTTCCAATTCAAAGGTTTGAATAGTTCATTATGAGATTTCAGGGGTGAATGAGTTTCACAAAGGTGTCTCCATGAGGGAGATCTCCTTCATTCCACATTTATAATGAGGGAGACAGTGTGTTAAATGTGACTGAAACTGCTTTGCTCAATTTATATATCTGAATTAGATCTGATGATTTCATCTGTAAGAACAGCTTGAAAGATGCCATTTACAGGGTTATGTTTCCCTTGGGTGTACATGTATACAATCTCCCCCATGGAAATTTCGAATAGTTGGCAAGTATGGGGATTGGTCAGAAACAATAGGTCAAAGTAAGAGGGAAGTGACCCGTTTCTATTGATACCCTCCTTTCGTACCTTGGCAGTAATGGAGAACGGTATCTATTGCACATTTGCGGTCAACATTGAACCTGGCTTGAGCTGACCCGGTGATGACGTTGTCCACCTCGGCGTCTCCCTCCGGCCACCAGCCGTGCCACAGGAACACAGTGTGGTGGTTATCCACCAGGAACAGGGCTGAAACAGACCCAAGTATTACAAGTACAGTCACCAACATTAACCCTACAATGTATTGATTAAGTTAAATATGTATACACGTTACATAATATTTTATATAATAACCAACTTTTTCTTTATACACAAACAATATACGTTTCAAAGGAAACGTGTGGAAACATTTCAAGACCGACTGGTCCCTAGTGAGTCGGTATGATGATGGAACCAGTCGATCTTGAAATGTTTGACATGAATACCTACATTGTTTGTGTATAAAGTAAAACTATATATTACATTTTTCCAAACTGATGAATCTTATTGAAGAATGTATACATGTTATCCAAACCAGTTTTACCAATATGCTTTTCAAAGAAGTCTCTGAATTACATCTACAAGTATTGACAACTCTCGATCTGACTACTGACTTTGTAAATCTGTGAGAGGGGAGGTAACTCACCAGGCTGGGAGGCTTTGTAGAGGTCCGACTGTAAGAAAGGGTAGGGGCAGACTAGATCTGGGGTGCGGGACGGGTTCTGGATTTCATGAACTTCAAACACTCCGGACACACTGGACATGTGGAAAAGTCTGACCGTGTGGTCATGGGGCTTGCGATCTGTAACACAATGGTCAAGTCAGGGGTCAAGTAATCTGAATAACATACATTTAACTCATTCACCCCTGAAGACACATTTAACTCATTCACCCCTGAAGACACATTTAAGCTCTTCCAGTTCAAAGGTTGGAATAGTTCATTATGAAATTTCAGGGGTGAATGAGTTCTCTCAGCTTAGTGTGTAACTGTATGTGTGGTAAGCTGGCACCATCAGTATAAACACTGTCGTTGTTTTCCAAAAACATTTCTTTCAAAGCAGAACATTTTACTGCTATTTTAATATGATTTGAATGACCTTTGCCCACATAAAACGTTCAATGGTACCTACCTAACAGTAGTGAATGGTACATAGTTCTGTCTGTACCATCTGACCCCATGACCTTTAGAAAATCGTCACGCTCAGCTCCTTCCTCCAATTCTATCACATAGATTTCAGCTTTGTCATGCAGACCAACTTCTAAAGGACATCTGTCAATATACAAAAAAACAAATGAAAAATCTGGATATTGGTTTTTTTCTCTTCTGTTGTAAACAATGTTCATACAGAATTTTCAGAACAAAATACAAGTTTACAGTGTTCTTGCATATTTCAAGGAGTATGTCTTCATGATACAATGAACATAAATATATAATAAATGATCACATGACACAGTGAACATGAATATGTATCAGGTGATCACATGATACAATGAACATAAATATATAATAAATGATCACATGACATAGTGAACATGAATATGTATCAGGTGATCACATGACACAATGAACATAAATATATAATAAATGATCACATGACACAGTGAACATGAATATGTATCAGTTGATCACATGATACAATGAACATAAATATATAACAAGAGGCCCAATGGGCCTGCATCGCTCACCTGGTGTTAATCTCACACTTGTAATCTTAAAAGTGGACTAAAATACAGCTACAGGCAGAATATCAGTGTGACCTTGAATGTCAAACAATGACATTAGGTTAAAAGTGGGTCAAGGTCATTCATTTTAACAAATTTAGTAGCCATTATTGCTACAGGCCAAATATCAGTATGCTACTGGCCAAATATCATTACCCTAGGCATTTTGGTTATTCAGAAGAAGTTGTATGGTTTAAAACATATTTGACCCCTGTGACCTTGAATATAAGTCAAGGTCATTTATTTGAACAAACTTGATAGCCCTTCATCCCAGCATGCCACTGGCCAAATATCATCACCTTAGGCCTCTTGGTTATTCAGAAGAAGTTGTTTTAATGTTTTAAACATATTTTACCCCTGTGACCTTGAATACAAATCAAGGTCATTTATTTAAACAAACTTGGTAGCCCTTCATCCCCCCATGTTACTGGCCAAATTTAAGCACCCTAGGCCTATCGGTTATTCAGAAGAAGTTGTTTAAATAATTTAACGTATTTGACCCCTGTGACCTTAAAAATGGATGAAGGTCATTAATTTGAACAAAATTGATAGCCCTTCATCCCAGCATGCCACTGGCCAATTATCATCACCTTAGGCCTCTTGGTTATTCAGAAGAAGTTGTTTTAATGTTTTAAACATATTTTACCCCTGTGACCTTGAATATAAATCAAGGTAATTTATTTAAACAAACTTGGTAGCCCTTCATCCCAGCATGTCACTGGCCAAATTTAAGCACCCTAGGCCTATTGGTTATTCAGAAGAAGTTGTTTAAATAATTTAACGTATTTGACCCCTGTGACCTTAAAAATGGATGAAGGTCATTTATTTGAACAAACTTGCTAGCCCTTCATCCCAGCATGCTTCAGGCCAAATATCATCACCCTAGGCCTATGGGTTATTCAGAAGAAGTTGCTGAAAGTTTTTAAACATATTTGACCCCTGTAACCTTGAATATAAGTCAAGGTCAATTATTTGAACAAACTTGGTAGCCCTTCATCACAGCATGCCACTGGCCAAATATCATCACCTTAGGCCTATTGGTTACTGAGAAGAAGTTTTTTAAAGTAAAATGTTGACGACGGATGGAAGCCGGACGCCCGCACCATGCCATAGGCTTACTTGGCCCTTCGGGCCAGGTGAGCTAATAAATGATCACATGACACGGTGAACATAAATATATAATAAATGATCACATGATACAGTGAACATGAATATGTATCAGGTGATCACATGACACAGTGAACTTGATTCTTCCTGAAGGTGCATTGATGGTCCTTTTTGCAAATATACATCTTGTTATTGTGTAATACAGATATTTATTGGTTGGTCACATGACTTACTTGGCCTTCAGGTTGTCCACAGCTGCCTTTATGAGAACCCTAACATGCTCTGGACACTTGGCACCATGCCAGAGGTATAGAAGTCCACTGTTGACATTGACCAGGATGAAGGATGACCGACTTCGTAAACACTCCATGCCGGCCTGAATCTCCACGAGACATGCCTCGTTTGTAGAGTCATTACGAACACAGTAAAATCTCCAGCAACCCTGGGTATTGCTATCCTCTTCCTCACGCTTACCAATATGGATTACCATCTTTCCACCGAACAGGTTTAGAAAGCAGGGCATTTCTTTAGCCTCATCTACACGTATCTGAAAAGCACATATTTACAAATATAAAGATCAGTTTTCTATAAAAAACTACAAAATTTTATAAATTGGTAAATGAGAACAGATTAAAAGATTAGAAACAAGCTTAATTTTATGAAATTTATAAACATATCCCACCTGAGGGCCTCGTTCCTCGTCGAGTTCCACAGTCATGAGAGCCGAAGCCCCTTTCTCATTGATGGTGGAGTTGCGCCCCTGCCAGAAGAAGTAGGCGCATCTCTCACGTCCAACCTGTGACCGACGCACCTGGTTTCCCTTTAGGCCCTTCATACCTATAACGTCACAACAGACATCAGTACAGGAACGGCACAACAAGACGAAAGTCACGACAACACATTTATGACGTTAAACTTATAAGGACAATTACGACGCTATGCAAACAATGTTTTCTGGTTATATTAAAAGTGTGATGAAAATATTTTTTTATTATTTCTATGATAAGCTGATGCTCCATTTTCATGTTTAGGCAAAGAAATCTATCAAAGGATGTTTCAGACAGAAATCTATCAAAGGATGTTTCAGACAGAAATCTATCAAAGGATGTTTCAGACAGAAATCTATCAAAGGATGTTTCAGACAAAGAAATCTATCAAAGGATGTTTCAGACAAAAATCTATCAAAGGATGTTTCTGACAAAGAAATCTATCAAAGGATGTTTCGGGGCAAAGAAATCTATCAAAGGATGTTTCAGACAGAAATCTATCAAAGGATGCTTCAGACAGAAATCTATCAAATGATGTTTCAGACAAAGAAATCTTTCAAAGGATGTTTCAGACAAACAAATCTATCAAAGGATGTTTAGGCAAAGAAATCTATCAAAGAATGTTCCAGACAGAAATCTATCAGAGGATGTTTCAGACAAAGAAATATATCAAAGGATGTTTCAGACAAAAAAATGTATCAAAGGATGTTTCAGACAAGGAAATCTATCAAAGGATGTTTAGGCAAAGGAATCTATCAAAGAATGTTCCAGACAGAAATCTATCAGAGGATGTTTCAGACAAAGAAATCTATAAAAGGATGTTTAGGCAAAGAAATCTATCAAAGAATGTTCCAGACAGAAATCTATCAGAGGATGTTTCAGACAAAGAAGTCTATCAAAGGATGTTTCAGACAGAAATCTGTCAAAGGATGTTTCAGACAGAAAACTATCAAAGGATGTTTCTGACAAAGAAAGCTATCAAAGGATGTTTCAGCCAGAAATCTATCAAAGGATGCTTCAGACAGAAATCTATCAAATGATGTTTCAGACAGAAATCTATCAAAGGATGTTTAGGCAAAGAAATCTATCAAAGAATGTTCCAGACAGAAATCTATCAAAGGATGTTTCAGACAAAGAAATCTATCAAAGGATGTTTCAGACAAAGAAATCTATCAAAGGATGTTTCAGACAAAGAAATCTATCAACGTATGTTTCAGACAATCGTAAATGATTTACCTGCTTGTGTAATCATGTACTGCCATCTGACCACGTAAGTGTCGCCGTCGTGAAACTGACCGAAGCTCAGGTCTGGCATCTTGAAGTGGTCGTACTCCAGGACGTGCCAGACAGTCACTCCCTTGGTTATAATACTCTGCTCCCTCGTGAAACCTTCCATGTCCTCAAACCTGTGGGCAGAATCAAAATATCAAATAATTAAACTTTCAATTCACAATTAAAAATTAAAAAAAAATAAAAATAAACGCCTGCTGTCTCACCCGGCCCCGCTTTGATCCATCAATGTTTAGTTGGTCTAGCACTTATAGTTTCAGAGAAACTAACTTAAACGCAAAAAACTTAATGTTGATGGAGATGCTGACAAAGTCAATGGACCATGAAAGGTAGGCTGCATCCAGCATTTGATAAACGGGTTGAGATGTACTACCTAATTAGATGCATCTATGGTCCAAGTTTGGTTGGTCTAACACTTATACTTTCAATGAAACTAACTTAAACAACACCTTTAATTTGTCTCACTTCCGCTACAAAAATTATTTCAAACTTCAACTATGCAAATACGTATTTCCCATAAAAAAATCAACCTTTCCCCCATTCCACCAAAAACAAAAATAAATTGATATTCAAATTCAAAAGTAATTTCCAAATTGCTCGATCTTTCAGTGTGGACCACAAAAAGTCTGTTTCATCATGCTGAAATTCTTCAAACCAATTTACTTTTATGTAAATGGATTCTATTATTTTGTGGATATTTAAGCACTGTTTTTCTATACAAACTGTTCAGTTTAAGAGACAATTATATTCATGAGTTAGGACTAAAGTGTTACCATGTTCAGACTAATATATTCAGTAAGTGTTCACATGTTCAGATGAATTTGCTCAGGTTAATATAATTCCTCAGAACGACACTATGTGAGTTCCATATAACAGATCAAATCTACTATATAGTATAGATTTTTGTATGTCTCTACAGATTGTAGGTATTTACCATCTAACCCCTCTGCCGACATGTGATCCCTCCAGAAGTAGTGACACCGGCTTTGAGTCAACAGGAATCATTAATTTGGCGTCGTAAGGTTTCAGCTCGACTAGGTCCACCTGAAAGTAGGATATCAAATATGATACACCCAGACAGAAATTCACTCCTAGTCTGTCACATTTATACACCCAGACAGAAATTCACTCCTAGTCTGTCACATTTATACACCCAGACAGAAATTCACTCCTAGTCTGTCACATTTATACACCCAGACAGAAATTCACTCCTAGTCTGTCACATTTATACACCCAGACAGAAATTCACTCCTAGTCTGTCACATTTATACACCCAGACAGAAATTCACTCCTAGTCTGTCACATTTATACACCCAGACAGAAATTCACTCCTAGTCTGTCACATTTATACACCCAGACAGAAATTCACTCCTAGTCTGTCACATTTATACACCCAGACAGAAATTCACTCCTAGTCTGTCACATTTATACACCCAGACAGAAATTCACTCCTAGTCTGTCACATTTATACACCCAGACAGAAATTATCTCCTAGTACTCGGCCATGTTTACCTACATATATATATGCACCTTCGGGCCAGGTGAGCTAAAAATTGTCCAGTAATTAAATGTATATATAATATTATAGTTGCCTTGTTTGCTTGTCCATCAATTTGTTTGCATCCGGTAGACAAGTAATCCCACCCCGGGAGCAGAATCCATACCCAATGAGTGCACCAGCATTCAAATGATTTGAAACCAAAAGTTAACTGGGGCCGACATCACTAATATTTATATATCTCACCTTGTTTCCAGCAAGATCTGTTTGACTTTTGCACCTTATAAGGCGTGAACTATCCGGCCAATCAGAGAACTTCTCTTTAAACAGGGCTGTTTCCATGTTCTGGTTGACTTTGCCAAACAGTGTCCAAGATGGCCGAACAGAATTCTTCACTGGTAATCCACCCTCCTCCTCAACTGTCAACAATTATGGGGTTATATCAGTTTGATTCTGTGCAGTGTTTGTTTTGAAGTTAAACCGACATCAAAAAATTCAAATTCCTGTAGAGTTGAACATGTGTCTTAGAGACTGTTGTGAAAAGAGTCTAAGTTTAATTTGCTATCTTATTGAATTCAAGGATTCGAAAATATCACCTGTCACAAAATGGCCAGTTATCCAGTGTCACAAGCAGGCAAAGATAGATTACCCTGTATTAACATTGGGTAAGGGAGCATAAGACACCATCTAAAAATACATTTCTGGGTTCTAGACAGGATACGTTTTTTTTCAATGAAAATGAGGTTAATATTTTTCTGTAAAAAACACCCTGTAGGTGAATTACACCATGTTTTTTTCGAAAATAAATTGAAAACTGAAGATCAATAATCCTTTGTTAAAAGTCCTTTATAATAGCTGGTGTGATTTCAAGTTATTTTACCATTCCTATTGAACACTTTGACAATTCTGACCAGCTGTTATACTGATTTTTGTTCGGGACAAACATATCATCCTCCAACCCATTTCACAGCCTCTCCTCCCCTGTGACTTCCTGGTGACAGAGGTGGGGTCACCACAGTCTATACCTACGTTTTAGACAGAGGGGTTACAAAGGTGGGGTCAACACAGTCTATACATACGTTTTAGATAGAGGGGTGACAGAGGGGGGGTCAACACAGTATATACCTACTTTTTAGATAGAGAGGTGAAAAAGTTGGGGTCAACACAGTATATACCTACGTTCTAGATAGAGAGGTGAAAAAGGTGGGGACAACACAGTATATACGTACGTTTTAGATAGAGGGGTGACAAAGGGGGGGTCAACACAGTATATACCTACTTTTTAGATAGAGAGGTGAAAAAGTTGGGGTCAACACAGTATATACGTGCGTTTTAGACAGAGAGGTGACAGAGGTGGGGTCACCACAGTAAATCCCTACGTTTTAGACAGAGGGGGTGACAAAGGTGGGGTCAACACAGTATATACCTACGTTTTAGATAGAGAGGTGAAAAAGGTGGGGTCAACACAGTATATACCTACGTTTTAGATAGAGGGGTGACAGAGGTGGGGTCAACACAGTCTATACGTACGTTTTAGACAGAGAGGGGAAAAAGGTGGGGTCAACACAGTATATATGTACGTTTTAGACAGAGAGGTGACAAAGGTGGGGTCAACACAGTATATACCTACGTTTTAGACAGAGAGGTGACAAAGGTGGGGTCACCACAGTCTATACCTACGTTTTAGGCAGAGGGGTGACAAAGGTAGGGTCACCACAGTCTATACCTACGTTTTAGACTGAGGGGTGACAAAGGTGGGGTCAGCACAGTCTATACGTACGTTTTAGACAGAGGGGAGAAAAAGGTGGGGTCAACACAGTATATACGTACGTTTTAGACAGAGAGGTGACAAAGGTAGGGTCAGCACAGTCTATACGTACGTTTTAGACAGAGGGGGTTGATAGCACGGTACCTACGTTTTAGACAGAGGGGGTTGATAGCACAGCTACTGTAGTCGTAGCCCTTGTCCCAAAGCTGACGTGCTAGTTTCACGGCAAGTTTACGTTGGTCTGGTTTCACCGCCTTCCCTTGCCAGATGTAAAACTCAGTCCCGTAATCAAAGATGAGGACCTGCAAAACCAAACATGGTCAAGGTAGGAGTTAGCAGGAATGAAATCATTTGTGATTTGACGCCAATTCAGGAATTGAGTAAAGAGCCCTAACTCCATACGGTTGGATACTGGTGGTTATCGAACTCGTCCGAGCTTTTGAGGTAATTAATCGACCTCCCTATCACGTGTGTATAAAAAGATTAACATTTCCTTTTGACATATTACAGAATTCAGCTGAGCACAAACTTATGCACACACATATTATTTTGTCATACAACATTATAAATCAGTTCCTAAGAGCACAGCTGGTTTCTAGTCCTCGTTGGTATTCTCTTGATATATATTTCTTTTGACGAACAAACTCACCTGATCTTTCTTGAGCATCTCGTACTTTGGGACGGTGCCCCAGTACTCTTGGTAAGGCTGGAGAGTGTTGTCTTTTAGGTGGTACACCATGTTGGTTTCCACAATGTGGTTCTCATATAACTCATCCTCCTCTGTGGGGCCTACCGCTATAAATAGAACAGGAAATCACGTCATAGGCTATATATAGAGGAGCAGTATGTGATGTCATACTTATAAATAGACCAGGAAAACATGTTATCAGTAATTAGAACACAAAATATTGTTATTACTGACAAAAATTGTAAACAAGTCATGATGGTGAGAGGTATAAATAGCTGAGGAAATGACCAGAAAAATACAAAGCTATGAATTTAAAACAGAACACTTAAATATGCCAATTTGAGTATGCCCAGAAATAATTTAAAAGTGAAAAACTTTTCTTGGTTAAGAAAAAAGAAAGATTTTTTACTTTTGCACTTCTTTTTACTTACGAGCGATTTCCTTCTGCCCTCCAAGAGCAGCCCAGAACTGTTTGCCTGTGCCGAGATGTTGGCGAGCTTCCTCCACGGAACCTACTGCGGTAGCTCCCTTACAGCCCATGTCCTTCTTCTGAACAATCATTGAGGCCACATCTGCTGCCTAAAAATACACAAGTGTAAAAAATTAACAGGTGGATCTCACAAATACCTGGCTTAAAACATGAACTTATACACACTACCGTATGATATATGGGCAAAGAAGTAATAACGATGGTGCAGCCAAAGGAATTTGTCAAATTTTCAGGGCGATATGTTCCTTTGTCAAGATAGAAACATGGGCACTTACGTATCACAACATTTAACAAAGAAAAAAATCCTTACTGGATACATTAAGATGTACAAAATATGCAGGGACCATCTTAGGAAGAGCTCATTCCGGGATTAAAACATGGAGGTGTACACAATAATCAGGGACCATCTCAAAACAAGAATTCCATAGGAGTGGATGTGTCGCCTTCTCAGCACTTTTATTAAACTTGACAGAAAAACCCGTAATATATGTTTAACATTATTGCTCCTGGCATTACCGTACAAAATTTGAAAGGAATTGATTAAAAAATAAAAAAAGTTCTTGTTTTTAGTAGACAATGCAATTATTTGGCAATAAAAGGGGCATAACTCCATCCAAAACTCACGTAAACTTCTGAAATGCGAACGTGTTCGAGCTATATTGGTATGCAATATGTGTAACAAGTTTGAAATTAATCAATCAAAGGGAACTCAAGTTATCGCACGGAAACCTTGTTTCGGAGGACACAACCAACGACGCCAACAAAGGATTATCTATATATATGTCGCCTGGCATTGCAGGCGACACAATGACATCTTCCTGACTTGAAACATGGAGGTTGTAGACAATATTTCAGCAAGGGGTTATATCAACATTTTGCTGCTAGGTACTTTTGAAACATGGACAATGTATCTATACAAATCCTAACTGAAGTGGCACATGAAGACTAGATTGTGCCGGTGATAGACCCACAATCCCGGTGTAGTAACCTTACCTTGGCCTTCTCTATAACGTTACAGTATTCCCCAATCCAGGTCAAAGCTTTGTCGGGGGTCACCAGGACATAGCAATCACCACTGTTGATTGACATGGCCACGGGCTCCACAAGTCTTGTCTGTACACGCCGACGTCCTGTCAATCAAGTAAAAACAATTATACATCTGTACTTCCTGGTAATTCTCAAAAGGTTGACTCGATCATTTAACACTCAACAGCTTCAGAATTCTAAGAAACTTTTCTGGTATTACTCATCATTCATATATTGTTAAATTAATTTGAAAGCAACAGACACCATGTGTTTGAAAATATCAGTAGGATGAGGAATAAACACTGTTGCTATGGTGATTTATGGACTGTTGCCATGGTTACCTTTGACATGGAGCAGCATGAGATCTTTGTAGGGTTCAAGGCGTGAGGTTCCACTAGTGGCCTGTTCCGCAGTCTTACGTAACGACACTTTGGAGAAGTTCTCCTTGCTAGCGAGACCAGCTAGTGCCTCCTGAGCGAACCCTGCTTCCTTGGAAACTGAGAAAATATGAAAACCTGACTGATCAACATTAAGTTGCTAAGACAATGAGCTAAAATAGATAAGTTATACAAAACAATCAACATTCATAATAATAATAACTAAATATTATTTTCATTTAGAATTCTACTTACATTGAGCCGTCTTTTGTCGCTTTAACTCTTGCTCTGCATATCCGACCTTGACCTCTTCATATTCAGACTTGACCTCCAAGTTCAAGGACATTGTCTTCAGAGGATTTTTACTGCGGGCAGAGTGTTTACGTTTTGGTCGAATCTTTCTTGTTGTTGTCAAACTGGAGGGATAAAAACAGTGAAATCATGATTAATTTAATTCAATAGATATTGAATGTTTATCATACAAAACCATCAGACATAAGTGCAATATTGCAATTAAGTTATCCCTAGTAAATTACATTTTACAAATAAAGTAAAACATACTTATGTCTGGACCACACCTGGTGTCAATAATAATTAATTTTTAAGGATCAGATTACTGGGCTCGATACAAACGAAATACAGAAAGTAAGTTTTCTTGTAAATGAACTTCTGAGTGTGAATAATCTGAGTTCTGTATAGCGGATCAGTTGGATTGCCGATGTTGTATGATAGTAACATAAAAACGATATACTACTGTATATTTTTTTTTTTACTCTATTTTTATTACAAAAACTTGTATTTTACAAGTGAAAATGAATCTATGAGCATCTTACAAAACATGCAATATTTCAATAAAACATCAGCTCTTACATGTCATTAGCTTCTATAAATAGATCATCGAAGGTGTCAACTTCTACTTGGACCTTCTCGTTTTTGATAATGAGCTCTGTAGACTTTGTGATGAAGAAGGACTCAAGGTTGTCTTGCTGAGGGACACTGACTTTGACTGGGCCCTTGTCTTCCTCTTCCTCCTCCTCAGCTTTGATCTCCATGGCAACATCCACTACTGGGGGACCTGTAAAGGGGGAGTAACTCTATCTTCAAATCTTACAAGTACGATATGTAAACTGATCAATATAGATGCAGCCTATCAGCTGTATCTGTGGATAATTATAACTCAATTATAAAGTTCATTTATTTTACAACAATTATCAAACAAGTTATTTAAACTTATATTAATCAAGCTTGTTGGCCCGGATGTTAACATGAGGTGGGAGGACACCGGAGTACCCGGAGCAAACCCACATGGTCGGGCAGTTGATCCAATATCTTTTCACGTCTGATTAGGGAATCAAACCCTGGCTGCCGTAGTGAAAGGCAAGGGCATTATTCACTGTGCCATCCGACCACCCAACTCCCTCCAATAAGATAACTCAATCTGACAAATCCAATCCCTGTAGTTTTTCTTCTTTTTAAATGTTACAAGACAAACGTGAAGTACAGTATGATCAGAAATCTTACATATGACCAGAGGCCAATCTTTGATATTAGATATGTTCTAATGTCGAATTTAAAAACTGTTTTAATACAGCTCACACTTCTGACTTAGACTCTACTATTTTATCACACAATTCAGGAACTCAATCTTTTATCCAAATCATGTTTACAGTACTGAGCATGGTCTTCAAGTTAAGAAATGTGTAAAACTTGGGTCAGATTGTATATTCCTCACACACCTTATACCTACTGTTTGATTTTCAATGATATACAAATGATGCAAATACATAGATTTGTTAATTCAATCATTTCTATTGTGAAAATATTTCCAGTTTTTTATATATATACAAAACATATTTCAAAATGTAAGTAAGGTTTGTTTTTTTATAACTAGCTACAGCTAAACATGACAAGATTCAATGGCAGATTCAAGCAGCCCGTGGGCTTAAGACTGCCTTCTTTTGACTCAACTGTTTATTTTTTGTTCATTTATTTACGATGTCTTTGAGGGACTTTCTAGTAGAATTAAGTAAATGCAAAATGTATATAATTTATTTTCATGACTTGAATTTCCTTATGAAAGAAATAATAAATCTGCCACTGAGGTCTCTAGGATGCAATCATTTCTCCTATCCTACATCTTATCACAAAACATAACAAAACATAACATCGGAACAAGGTCACAAAATATACATGCAAAATGTTAACACCCCATCACCATATACATGTATGTCAGACAAAATATACTTACTCTTTGAAAATTATATCTTATATTAAAAATTATAACAGTTTACTGTCATATTTAACATGTTTAAAGTAGATTTTTTTCTTCCATTCAAACAATATCACTTCATAAACATGCAAATCAGTCTCACAGCATTGTAGTCAAGAAGAAATATTTTGAGCATCATACAAAACAGGACATCTGTAGAAAAGAAGGGAGATAGCTATGGGATTTCTTGGTCAAAGAGGCAGGGGAGAGAATTACAAGGATTGTTTTCCAACATAAGCGCAAGGGAGAGAATTACAAGGATTTCCTTTTTCACTGAGGCAGGGTAAAGAACTACAGAGACTTTTAACAAAGTGGCAGGGGAGATAAGTACATGGGTTTCTAAGCTATAAAAGCTTAAGGACTCTAAAATGAAAGCTAATAGGAACAAAGTAGATGGTTTGGAAACAAAAAAGCCTGAAACTTCTAGATTTTATATTGAATGTGCTTGGCTGAAAATGTCGAAGAAATGATAACTGGTACAAGATGGGGAATCACTGTATGATTAAAATGTTCATATACAGTGGATATAGCCAAGCAAGGGTAATGGAAGGCAAAGTGTTTGATTTTTAAATACCACTTATCGAGGAAATTTCCGTAATTCAGTTAAAAATGTTATACTAATTGAAATAAAATCTTGTCTTGTAAGTTCAGAGTTTGTCTTATTGTTAATGAATATAGGTAATTCGCATTAAAATGATTGTGAGCCAAAATGTGCACTAGTTAAATTGTTCATTCTTTTTTCATGGAACCAGTGACGTCATTTCCTTAAAACTTGTTTTTTTCACTCCTTCAAATTATCTTTCTGATACATGATATCTACCTTATTTTGGAATTTCATGTTGATTGATATATTTAATTATTTAAGAAAGAAAAAAAATCCCATGCAAATAAATAATTAAAAGACCACCAAAATAGATAGTACTGTAACATTAGTAATTTATTTTATTGACTTCATGACAATAGTCATGCATTCCAACAATAAAATCATCATTCTTCAAGTTAAGATTTTAGTATTACATTAATATACAATATTTTTATAAGAAATATTTCATGCCTTTTCATGTAAGAGTTGCTTCCCTTTAAAATCAATGACTGAAGAAGAACTAAAAGATGGTTTGTTCTTACAGGGTTAACCGTCCAATCAACAGCTTAGGTCAGTAAAGGAAATGAGAACTAAAAGAAAGCTACATTATTTTACAAAGGAGTTAACCTTAAAGTTCAAAGGTGAAAAGGACAAGGGTAAAGGGTGTATACGATACAGTGAAACCTGTCTAAACTTACACCACTGGGACAAAATGTCACAATTGACAGATTTCAGATGATGAAGGTTCAATTTACAGAGGAATGTAAACAAGATCTTGTTACAAGATTCACTGGTCAATATAAACAGGTTACCTGTGTAACTATATGCGACAAACCGGATATGATAGTAACTTTTATTAAAGTTGCAACTACCTGAGAAATTAAACTATATGTACATGTGATTGTCTGTACAGGATAATGGAGACAGAAACACTTATCCTTAAAGCATGACAGGAAACAGAAACACTATCAAGGATCTAAAAGAATAGATCATTTATCATTATCAAGTATACAAACTTTTTGTGTACGCAATTGCACTTATCTCATTCACCCCTGAAGACACATATGAACTCTTCCAATTCAAAGGTTGGAATAGTTCATTATGAAATTTCAGGGGTGAATGAGTTCAAAGTGCATCCAACATGATTTTGTCAGGAAGGGCATGAGTGTGATAAAAGAAAAATTTGATTGTGAGAGTAATGTATCAAAATACTTCAAGTCTATTAAAATGTAATTGAACTATTTCCAGTTTGAGATAATAATTTGACATTTTAATCAGAAAATTCTTCATTTCATCACACATTTGTAAAATCAAAGTATGTTTTGAAGGTCAAATAAGGTATTTTATAAATTCTTGAAGAATATCTACACGGCTTAAATAATATGTAAGACTAAAGAATGTTCTAAGGGAAGCAACTCTTATCCACTTTCAGCGATAATGTTTGACATACAACAGAGTTTTATAGATAGGTGTGAAAAGAGTTAAGGTGTTGCATCTACCCACTAAGGAAGGGTTAGGTCGTTAAAGGTGAGTTGTCAAGGTGTGTCAACACCTATGTTTTACCTGACACCAGAGTGGTCGGGAAGGGAATTTTGGGCCATTCTTTGCTGGGGGTCGATGGTGATGTAAGCTCTGACCCTGATTCTGAATCGGACTCTGTAAAACGAAAGTGTGATGTGTCTTGTGTGTTAGTATTGCAGCAAAATGGTTACTCAAAAAGCATGTGACTTCAGTATACACTCGAATCCTCCGACATCACTCTCCGGACATCTGTATTAATGATCTCAGCTCTTTATATTAAAAGATGTGAAGCAAAACAACAGATATCAAAACATGATGAGAATTCTTAAAGGAAATAATACTATTTCTTCAAAGGAAATTGTTATAAATAAAGGTTTGTTAATTTAGGCAAAAACTTTAATAAAATTTTGTCAAAAAGTTTTTACGAAAAGGGGTTAAAAGAAATGGTTATAATGGGGTTTTTTTTATTGGTTGTCCAACATGTTTGATAATGATTGAAACTATCAACATCATGGAAAGTGTCCCTTTTTTGTTAATTTATAGGGAAAAAATGCATCCCCAAAAGTTTTAACTTAATTTTTTCGTAACTGTACTCAAATCATTGATCATACATATGATTTTCTCAACGGTAAACAGATTGATACACAATAGCGTTACAGTAGCCCGGTAATAAAAAAAATGGCAATAAAATATGTTTAAACTACTAGAATGTATAGCACAACAGCTTTACAGCAGCAGCCAATTATTTTCTCATGCAAACTCAACTTAACATACTCAGATTTCATTTAACCCATTCACCCCTGAAGTCACATTAGAACCTACCAAATCAAAGTCTGGGCAAGTCCAGTTTAGATATATAGGGGTGAATGAGGTAAACTTCCCGAACGATATCCTTATACCAGGGTACTCAAATACAAACGAGCTAACAAAAGAAATACGAGATATAAAATTATCCCCCAATTTTATATTTGTAAGCTAATGGGTAAAAGCGGCCACAGCATACCGAAGCTTTTATACAGTGGAACCTTATTATTCTCACATAATCAAACCAAACACCTGGATACTTTATCCTTACAATACTCCATTATTTACTTATTTAACTAATTCACCCCTGAAGACACATTTGAACTCTTCCCATTCAAAGGTTGGAACAGTTCATTATGAAATTTCAGGGGGGAATGAGTTAATAATTATGAATATTTAAATGCCCAGTCTAATAAGGTTCCACTGGTCATCTCTGAGCACACATGTACCAGCAATAGCCATTACAGCACTGCACACTACTATATATAAATCTCTGTCCCACACCCGTCCTATGTTACAGCACTGCACACTGCTATATATAAATCTCTGCCCCACACCCGTCCTATGTTACAGCACTGCACACTGCTATATATAAATCTCTGCCCCACACCCTTCCTATGTTACAGCACAGCACACTATAAGCCTGCCCCACATGCTCAATCGACACTCTTTAATTGTTACACAACACTTCTTAAACTGTATACAAATCTGCCTAAACACCGCGGAACAACCTCGGATGTTATGCATTGCCCAGTATTTTTCCAAGAATAGCCTATGCTTATCAATAAAAAGATAAAATATTTATTTTGTAATAAGCCCATGCCTAGTAATAAGCCCACCCATATATGTTGCATAACAGTAAAAATGCCAACAACTGCCTTAATAAACTCACTCCCCTAATTTGAGTTTGTCGTGATTATGTGTTGAATGTCTGGACTAATTGGAGGACAAATACAGTAATATACTTTCATTATCATTGCTTTGTTTTCAGGAACATTTTTAATCCTTTCAACACTGTACACCATAATGGACTCGTCCAGATCAATGCATGGTAGAGTCTACTAAAGTTACATAGGGGTGAAAGGGTTAAGCTGCAGAAAAACAGCTTTTTAACTTGAATAACTTTGTTATTATCTTTGGTTGTTGTTTAAAAAAAATTCAATTAACTAAAAGTAAAGGATGAAAGCTTTTTATTCATATGACAAAACTTGAAGGCTACAATTAACTAGTTTTATAAAGAAGGAAAACATTTGAGACAAATTTTGAATTGATTAATGATAAAAAAATAAATCCTATAATAGTCTACTTCTGTGATAATGTGAGTTTAAGTGGAAAACAATTATTAAACGAACTTCAATCAAGCATTATGTGTAATCGATTAGTAGCGAGCACAATATTATCAATTATTATCGTGAGTCAGTGACAGAACTGGTGTCCGTATAAAACCACACTGAAAAAAATTAGCTTTAATTCATTCACCTCTCAAGACACATTTGAACTCTTCCATTCAAAGGTTGGAATAGTCCATTATGAAATTTCTGGGGTGAACGAGTTAATTAAGATGAAGACATTTCAAAGTATAAACTTAAGGTTAAAGTTACAGAAATAAAGATATCAGAAGTAGTCATTCCTTACCTCGTTTAGTCAGACGTTTCAGCTTAGACACTAACGGACTATCTTCTACTTGGCCTGATAAAATAAACAACAACAATCTGTAAACAAAAGGTCCAAAGGGCTTTGAATTGTTCACTTGGCTTTTCTGGAAGTAAGGTTGAAATTTGCCCAGTAGTTTTAGGTTGTAAGGAGGGCAGCCCCAAAGAATGTAAGCCACTTAATTTGTAGAACGTTTGGCCTCGTGAAGCTACCATCACAATGTTATTGAAACCTGGTCAGCAGTTAGGGTGAAGATGACTTCGAAAACAATAAGCTAATATTTGCCCTTTTTTTTTTATCCCGTACGCCCTTTAGCCATTTTAATTGTAGAACTTTTCATCCCTAAAGCCAAGGATGCTACAAACCTTATTTGGTTGAAATTTGGCAAGCAGTTCGGGAAGAGATGTAGTTTAAATTATGAAAAGCAAACTCCCCCAAAAATGAAGATGAAATCAGTTCAGTAATTAAGGAGGAGTTGTCTTTTAATGAAAACACTGAATGATGACAGATGATGGGTGTGCCAGGTGGGCTAAACATAAAGACTATTGATAGAGCTGTTGTGATGTATTCAAACCGGCAAGTACAACAAAATATGTTGGTGTAACTTTCAATATGACAGTTTGATTTCAATGAATATTAAAACCATTTAATTTTAAGAAATTCAGTTCAAGGAAGTTTATTTGAGATTTTGGAACGTGCACTTCAATCAATAAGCCAAAATATCAATCAAGTTCAATTTCAAGCATCTGGATTGGGAAACAGCTATATGAGTTAATTTTTATTCCGAGTAAAGCAATAAATCTTTTGTAAATTGATCTAGCACTGACCAGCTATCTTGTGAGCCACTGTGAATTTCTTGGCATCCGTTTCCTCCACTCTACCCTTCCATCCTTCTTGAGAACTTTTAATCTGACAGAGCCTGTCTGCGATACTTGAAGGCCTGCCGACGGGTGATAGGGAGCGTTTTTCCCGAAGTTTTACTTCAACTGGACTAGCTGCTCTGCCCTTAACATCAACAGGACTGTCAAAGTCGATACTCTTTGAAACTCTCTTCCGCCACTCCTCATCTCCGCTCTTCTTCAGAGCACTCAATCTGGAGGGGAAAAAACATGGAAATGAAGGACCCTGTACCACTGTACTGTGGTGTTTCCTGTGTACAGTTACCTCCCCTTAACTTCCGTTTAGATATACCTGTAGCACATTTGTGCCAGGACACTTTGAATTCCGTTGACCAGGTCGCTCAATTGGTTAGAGCGATAGTACAACCGTCTGAAGTCCAGGGTTAGGACCCCGGTTTTATAGTTCCATTAGATGTTTTACACTCTGAACACTGTTGTTGATTATATTTTGTTCATTTCATCTTTATTATTTCTCATAAAAATCCTGCAACGTACAGGATTCTGTTCAGAGGTTTAAAGAGTTTCCAACACTTCGTTCAAGTTTTTGGCAGTGCTAAGGGGATCCTTATACAAGTTACAGTTATAGAGTTACCTCCCCTAGCTATAACTTTGTCAGCACAGTAGACTGTTATTGGGTAATTACTCTACGGATTAACTTATTCACCCCTGAAATTTCATAATGAACTATTCCAACTTTTGAATTGGAAGAGTTCACATGTGTCTTCAGGGGTGAATGAGTTAAGAATTTGACCAAACCCATACCTGTCTTTGATGGAGCTGTTGCTCCCCTCCTGTCGATCCTCTGCTAGTTTCTTTTCCTCTGGAGTGATTGGCTGAGTCTTGTGTCGACCTGTGTACTTCCTGTGAGGGGTCTCCGGAGACTTGTTAGGGGTCGTGATCTCTGCTGGCTGTGTCAGGTATCTGTAACATCAAATAGAACCAGTGGTCAACATTAAAACAGTCACAGTACTTTAGTTTTCAAACCTGTAATACATTAAATGTCTGTTTATACACTTTTCTTTTGCATTCCCATTTATAAAACTTGTTAAAAAATAAAATTTGAACAATCTTTAAACATTTCCATGTTTTATATTTTTACCAATATTTATTCATATATAAGATCATGTGAAAAATATTTTTAACGTCATATTAAGTTTTCAGAAAAGAATATTTCTATATAAGGCTAATATATCTTCAGCCATTTTTTTGCAAGTGAATAAATTTCTGTCATTATTAATTATATATGTAAAAAGGAATGAAATGATGGGATACATATGTTTTATATGTAGGAATAATAATAAATGGCAGAGTACTTTTGTTCTTGCTAGTCACTATAAACTTCATATAGGTCGCATTAGAAAAATCCTGAGTTTCAGAAGTCATTACGCTTAACCCTTTCAACCCTATGAAACTTTAGTAGACTCTACCATGCATTGATCTGGATGAGTCCATTATAGTCTACAGTGGTGAAAGGGTTAATATCATATCTTATTGGGTACAACTTTTCTTGATCTGGATCCTTCTAATGCTAAAGATGGGATGAATAAGTGATGAATGCAGCAGGGAAATAGAACAATGATAGACAGATTGAAATAGGATAAATACATATATGACCTACTAGTATAGGACTGATGGTATAACATATAACATATACGATAAACAGAAAGAAGGATGAATGAAAAAATTGTTAATACAATTTTGTTTGTAGTTCAAGATTTTGATATACAGCTTTTACATGCAAAGTTTAGAGATCTTTTCAATCAATTTTTAGATTTTATTTTAATTATAGCGAAGATATTAGTTTTGATAAGATATTTCAAAAGGTGAAAAACATGCAACGACTTCAATCTAATGACTTTTGTCATTCAATCTATTTATGGAATACAAGTCTTTATTTAGAAATAACTTACAAGAGTAACTAAATGTCTTATTTTTTTTATATAAAAACATACAGAATAGTGGAAGGATTGTATATGCTTGAAGCTACAGAACATAAGATTTGATCAGACAAGAGTAAGATATATATAGTTAAAGGATACTGATCAAAATGCGTAAAATTGATATTCTGTGTACAAACCTTTTTCTAAGTGCGGCTACCTTTGAGTGAATCATTTTCCCACTGTAGATTTATATGAGAAAAGTCATAAGAAAACTCGTTAAACCAAGGCGAAATTTACCTCTGTAGATGTACATTAGAAATCATGAGAAAACCACTTAAAACCAGGCAAAATATATTCACAAACAGTTTACCAGTTTTCAATCCACAAACCAATGAAATTACACACAAGAATATCCCGTTGTTTTTTAGGCCTCCGAGAGAGAAAGTCATAACACAATAGTTTAAACTGTTCCCAACGGACTGTTCGACTCTTAAACAAAAACTGACTGTGCGAAAATGTTAAGAGCGGACAACGCCACCTGATCTTGAGAAATCTCCTTGAACCATGTCAATTACAGCTGGGCATTAAAAATTCCTTGTCTTGAAACTCGACTCCTGCACTCAACCAACTTCATGTCGACTCTCGGCTACATCACGATTTCTACACATCACTTTATCAAACGTAATTTACACTTGTTTTTTTGGTTTATGGGCTGTTGATTTTTTAAAAGTACTGCTGTTTAAGCTAAATTGGTCTAAAAACGTAAGAAAACCAACATTATTTTTTTCTACTATTTCCATGTAGGCCTACCTATGTAATACAACATCACTGAATCAAGACTACATAGCAGACGTCACTTGTCACTTCCTGTTTGTAGAGTACACTTAATGGCCCGAATAATTAGATCAATATCAGTCATTAGGTAAACGCCTATCTTTTGATTCATATTTCATGTTGAGTTATCTATAGCTGTAACTTGTATAACCTATCATTTCATCTTAGACCCAGATCTCTATTTGTAGTCAAACCAGTCCAACTTAATTTCAGGGGTAATTGTTAATAATTACAGTTGTGCAAACTTGCGTGATATCCTAATACACGTTACAGTATGACCATTTAAAAATACTCAAATGTAGACTTATGTAATGACCTATTAGGGCCTAATACATCTATACTGCTTGATAGACAGAATCTAATGTAGACTTGCGCAAGCCCCTAATATACATATTGTTCTGTGTCATAACAGTAAATATTTAGACAGCATCGTACAAATTTCTTATATACACATGTACATGCAGGTATATATATATGCATTCCGATATTAAATCCTTTTAAGACCTTGATCCATTTATAATCCTGCAATGACTATTTGCGGTATAACTTGTGTGAAAATCTAACCCTTTTACCACCATAGACCATAATGGACTTATCCAGATTGATGCATGGTAAAGATTATCAAAGTTACATAGGGGTGAAAGGGTAAAATCAGGGCCATACTATTACACGACAAGACCACATAATCTGCCACTGTAATACTCAATGTAACCACTATATATGTAGACTAGCGGTAATATATTCTATTTCTACTTACATTGCAGTATATCAGAAATCGGTCTTATCAGATATTACTGCTTTAAACATCTTCAAATTGTACTAAATATTGCGAAAGTTTGCAAATATTAAACAAAAGTTCATCGAAGCTATCATACTAGTTACATTATAGGCTTGTTAGTGCATGAGGACTGAACAGAAATCTATAAGTTCTGTCTGGTATAGGGTAGGTTTGGTACATACACCATAAAGACAAGGTAATTATAAGAAGCTGATCTAAACCTGGTGCCTTCTCCGCAAAAACAACAACTTTGACAATGCATTATTCATCATCTGGATCTCTAACATGCGATGGCTAGCCAATGGGATGGGTGGCCGGGGAATAGTTTCCGATCTTGAAACACAATCCAATAATCTACCATTAATGTCAAATTAGAGTCGCATTTAAACCGAAAAATTGCTGAGCAGTGGACATCAGCATTGAAATGCTAAATAGAGAAGTGTTGTAAATATATACATGTGTACTGCATGTTGACGTGTAAAGTATATATAATACCTCATAACCACAGCCTAAACCACGATCAGATATAGCTGACAGCAGTGTAAACAGAAATTATACACAAGACAATGCTCGCAGTCAGCATGCAGAATCATATACAACTATATACTAGGTGTAGGACATGGTTCAGAACTATGCGTAGAATCCAGAAATAGACACCATAACAGCCTAAAACAAATCCAACGAAACACCAAAGTGCAAGTTTGGTCACTCGGTGAAATCCAGTTGAAAATTTGAACACTAAAAACATGCAGCTTTTCCACTCCACATTGATGAATGCAGGTACGAAGAATTTTCAGGATAAGAAATGAATTAATAAACAGCACAATCAGACTTTGACCACCAAATGAAATTCCATTTGTTAGTTCACCGTCATCTTAACCGATCGTACACTTTTTAGGTCAATGCAGCATGCACTTAAAATCTATAGAGAATCTTCCTAGCCCAGGTCTACCACAGTGTAAAATCCAACTGTATCGAAAACATACTTATACACCACAACTCCAAACCCTACACAAACCTGTGGAAATGTTTATCGCAACTTTCTAAATCCGCCATTATTGGTTCTCATCCGCCTGTCCACTGTCCACCCTAGACTGTATCTAACTCTAACACTGCCCTGTACAGGACCATCACCTCAGTGTTACAGGTGTGATTAGAACTCAGACCTGTACAGGTACACCGCTCAGGTGTATTCATAGATTACAGGTGTAACAGATCGAACCCAAATTCACCACGTCCATTCAATAGTGTAATTAAACTGGCCAGGTAAACAAAGGCCGGAGTATAAACACTGCTCGATGGAGTTTTAACGCGAGTTTTATCTGGTGGGTGAGCTAATATCCAGACTGAGTATAAGACCTCTAGCTTACAACTGCTGTTATATATACAGACACAACAGCTGTATGTCACCATGTCACAATAAAAGCCCCCCAGTACTTTAATTTTAAAATCAAAGATTGCATCTCCTTTATCGAAGATCATCGAACGGTACACTAGAACCGCTTGACATCACAATTTCCAATTAAACGTTCCTACACTACGTACAGTAATGGGTTAATCAGTTCAATATTTAGTTTGATATAAAGATTTTATCAAAAACTTGATTTACTTCCATAAATTTTATACCATTTTAAATACAGAAAACAGTATTTGTCCTGTTCTTCAGTGTATACAGAAATGCATTTTAGTAAAATCTCAGTGAAGTGGTTAGTAGCATACCTTATATATACGTTTGACGTTTTATATAAAACTCTTACACAGAAATGATCAATGTGATGACATCAGATAAGTTTAAACCCACTGAGTAGTCGAGTTAGTCAGCTTCACCAGGGAAAATAAATGATTAAAAAATTTGATGGAATGAAAGTAAGACACTTCAGTGTCTGATGAAGTCATAGCAAGTCTTACCTCTCAGCTTGTTTTTTGTCTCTTCCTTTCTTTCGGACAAGACTCTCTGTGTCTGCAACATCAGATTTTTCACCATCTGTTGTTTTCTTCAAAGTGCCATTTTCCACAATAGGTGTTGACACTTGCTCATGGGCAGACGACACCTCCAGCGTTTCTTCAGCACTCGTGACCTCTATACTCTCCTCTGACGAATCTTTCTTTAAAATTCCGCGTAATTCACTTAAGAATGGGGAGTCTTTGGCAGGACCTTTCCTCAGCACACTTTTATCAGGTTCAGTTTTCTTCAATTCAAAACTGCTTTCCTTTTTGAGAATTCCTCGAGGTTCGGATCTTTCTTCAGAGCCGTCCCTCGTTGCCTTTTCCTCTACATCTTTTATTCTATCTACCTGAGATTCATGCTTCATAATGCTTTTAGTGTTTTCGTCTGCCTTCTTGGCGACCACATTTTCATCGCTATGTCTTAGAATTCCTCCTTGCTCGTCCGCTACAGTAGCCAACCTTCCACTGTCCTCAGTTTTAAGGACACTGTTAGGCTCCTCTGATGCCTTTGTAGTTGATGTGTCTGCCTCCTGCAGTTTTAAGATGCTTTTAGGTTCTTCGTGAGATTCTTTCTCTTTTTCCACGTCAGGTTTGAGAATGCCCCTTATTTCCCTCTCTGGACTTTTCATATCTGACTTAAGAATGCTTTTTACATCTTTCGAGTCCTTCGTAGAATCAGAGAGTTGTACTCCTACAATTTAAAATCAAACATACAAGTGATGATGAAAATTTAATAGACTTAACCCTTTCAACCATATGCAACTTTAGTAGACTCTACCATGCATTGATCTGGGTGAGTCCATTATGGTCTGCAGTGGTGAAAGGGTTAAACAATTTAAAATCTAACATATTTAAATATTTTGCAATAATTTTGTTGAATAACATATTATCTAGATAATATTGCAGTCATTATATCGGTTCTTAATCCACAATCTAAATTCTATACTTACCAATAACAGATTGTTTTGCACAAAAATGTTTTAACAACAAATTCAGAACAATGTATTTTGTTCTACATGCTTTCTACTAAAGATTTTTTTTTTTTTTTTTTTTTTTAAATATTTGATAGACTGACTTAAGAAATATACTGGAACGAATATATGTAAACAGCAGAATTTTCTGGTATGTTAGCATCTTCAATTAGGAGAGTATAAATATGTCAACTTGTTAGATTTTTCTGATCTACAACCTTCTCCAGAAGATAAGTATGTGTTGATTGTTATACACACCTAAAACGACATGATGTTCCTATGTAGGAGATATGACTGGCGGTACAGAATTTAAAACTTAAACAGACACATGTTACCCAGAGCTGCACACTCAGGGAGCTCCAAACATAAAATAACCCCCTATATAACTGCACAATATACTGCACGTTGTAAATGAAATGACACCATGTACATGCTAGCCGCTACAACGGCAGCGTACAATGATCACACATTACACGGGTCATCTCCCCGATCAGAGCTAACCACCCCGTCCCTTTTAAATCCCTTTTAAATCCTGGCCGTTTATGATTGAGGCTCAATGCATGAGTTACACTTGAACAAGTGCAGCTGGTTTTTAACTACAAACTAACATAATGTACGGACAAATTCAAACTTTAAATGCCATTAATACCTGCACAAGTATCGCACAGAAGTGTGGAAGTTATCGTAGCATTGCACGACCTAATTAATCTCAATGAAGCTTGAGAGATTTCCGAGTTCATCCTTTTGTCTAGCACATACAAAGGTGAGGAGTCAATTTTGAATGCATTGCTGGTTGTAAGAACAGGTGCAATTTTAAAGATGTGCATCCTTTTTATCGCACACTGTTCATTTCTATAACAATTGATGATGTTACAGGGCTATGTGTGAATCTTAGATACTGTGAATTGTAGATATGGTTTCCTGTCATTAAAAGTCTAACCTCATTATGCTGGAAATTACAACTAAGACAAAACTTTTTGAACAGAATGCCACAACAGGAATTTACAAGTATTTGCATATGCAGAAACGTTAGCTCTATAAACATAATAGATTAATTGTACACCAGATTTTATTTTGCCCAATCAAATTTTCGCCCTTCGCAAATGAATTCAATTTTCGCCCAGTGTTAATTTTGCCCTTCACATTTAATTACTATGTTTATCGTACAGTTTACTTATAATTGCTGTAAAGATAAATTCCTCCTCATTTGAGAGGGCAAGAAAGGCAACAAGGTCACAGTACCATAATGTACTCTCTGAAGGTCACAGTACAATACTGTACTCTCTGAAGGTGACAGTACCATAATGTACTCTCTGGACGTCACAGTACCATAATGTACTCTCTGAAGGTCACAGTAAAATACTGTACTCTCTGAAGGTCACAGTACCATACTGTACTCTATGAAGGTCACAGTACCATACTGTACTCTCTGAAGGTCACACTACCATACTGTACTCTCTGAAGGTCACAGTACCATAATATACTCTCTGAAGGTCACAGTACCATAATATACCCTTTTAAGGTCACAGTACCATACTGTACTCTCTGAAGGTCACAGTACCATACTGTACTCTCTGAAGGTCACACTACCATACTGTACTCTCTGAAGGTCACACTACCATACTATACTCTCTGAAGGTCACACTACCATACTGTACTCTCTGAATGTCACACTACCATACTGTACTCTCTGAAGGTCACACTACCATAATGTACTCTCTGAATGTCACACTACCTTAATGTACTCTCTGAAGGTCACAGTACAATACTGTACTCTCTTAAGGTCACACTACCATAATGTACTCTGAAGGTCACAGTACCATACTGTATACTCTCTGAAGGTCACATTACCATACTGTACTCTCTGAAGGTCACAGTACCATACTGTACTCTCTGAAGGACACACTACCATAATGAAATCTGAAGGTCTCAGTACCATAATATACTCTCTGAAGGTCAGAGAACCACACTGTACTATCTGAAGGCCACACTATCATAATGTACTCTCTGAAGGTCACACTACCATAATGTACTCTGAAGGTCACAGTATCATATTGTACTCTCTGAAGGTCACAGTACCATAATATACTCTCTGAAGGTCACAGAACCACACTGTACTATCTGAAGGTCACACTATCATAATGTACTCTCTGAAGGTCACACTACCATAATGTACTCTGAAGGTCACAGTACCATAATATACTCTCTGAAGGTCACAGTACCATACTGTACTCTCTGAAGGTCACAGTACCATACTGTACTCTCTGAAGGACACACTACCATAATGTACTCTGAAGGTCACACTACCATAATATACTTTCTGTACTTTCTTAAGGTTACAGTGTCACAAATTAACTTTCTCAAGGTCACAACATAATCTTTAAAGTTCATCTTGTCACAAATAACGTCTCAGAAGGTCACAAACTGGTTGCTTATGACAAGTAATTTTACAGAAGTGATTGGTCTTTAAAACAAGGCTTGTAATTATAAAACATTAAAATTGGAAGTATTTAAGTACAAATTAAGTAATAGAAAAAGATATGGGAAATATCAGTCTCTCTGTTCTTTCAAAATCATCATCCTCTGAAAAGGGTGGCTATGTCTGACGAGACAGAAAGCAGACTTGCAAATAAGGAGCAGATCAACTGTGGTCTGTTATTAGCGAAGGTTTAATTTGCTGGGAATAACAAGGACAGGTCGACTTGCAAATGAGGAAGATCCACCGTGTAATCAGAACTGGTTATATCTGTTTTGGATTTTAAACCAGAGATTTATTACTATTTAAATTTAGCAAATAGTGAATTTTGATGTAGACATCTTAATTTGCCAAAATGGTTAAAGTGCAACAATTTGCCATGCATCACCTACATTCTACATGAAGTAAGTGCAGAATGAAAGAAATAGTTGTTGTTCCCTACACACCGATCATTGGCTGTATAATGACTTGGAGTTTCATGCGATGTTTTACAATGTATTCAGGTAAGTGCAATCATCCTTTACTTTTGTTATTATCTGCTAAACCCTTTCATCCCTATGTAACTTTAGTAGATTCTACCATGCATTGATATGGATGTGTCCATTATGGTTTACAGTGGTGAAAGGGTTCATAGGGAAGGGAAATGAATTTATAATGACCAGGATGCTAATCATGTCAAGTGAAGCTACGATTGCTCACCTTTATCCTGAGACAGGTCCGGAGTTGATACGTTTCGGACGTCCGAAGACGATCCTTTTTGAGATTCTTTCCGTAGATCAGGAGCAGAACCCTTGCCTATATCTACCGCAGAACCTGTTTGGGATTTCGCTCCAAGGTCAGAGGTCGATCCCTTTTGGGATCCTCCAACAGCTAAGTCCATCATGGACCCATGGCGAGAGCTTGACCGCGAAGTTGGAGTAGACAGACAAATCTCAGCATGCTGGGCGATGAGGTCTCGCTGAGCTTGGATGGGTAGAGTTTTCAGGAGCTCTGGGTCTGGGGGCTTTACTAGGCTCATCGCTAAGGGCGAGATTCGATACTCGGCAGCTTTCTCAACCTCTTCTATAGTCACCGGCTGATTAAACAACATAAAGTTGGTTCAGATCCATCAAGTAATATTCAGAAATATCACATTTTCTAAGTTAATGAAACAATTAAATATTACAAATTGCTGTAAATATATCAGTTCTGATCAAATGACCTCTGCATGAAATACACAATATACTTGTAAATTGTTTACCCTTCGTACTACCACAAACAAATGGTTATAGACACACAAAGATGTTTAATATTTTGTGTTATTTTCGTACAATTTATTCTTTAATCTAACATCTGTACCAGTTCTGTCCAACAGCCTGCTTCACTTAAGATACACAGGTGAAGTATCAGTTCTGTCCAACAGCCTGCTTCACTTAAGATACACAGGTGAAGTATCAGTTCTGTCCAACAGCCTGCTTCACTTAAGATACACAGGTGAAGTGCCACACAATTTCATCAATTCAGAAATGCATTAAAAATCTCCATTTTCCGAAATGGCGTATGTCCTTTATAACAGGTATATATGTGTTTACATTCATTCATGACATCATTTTTTTTTTTATCTTCAGTAAAAGCGTTTTATGTAGTAAGCCTAGCAAGGTGGTATTTCTTTGATGTACATTATTCCAGTGCATTTAAAATTGCAATAAGGTAAAACTGCCTCACTTTTAAATTTGCAGTCAATGCAAATTTCTTAACAAGAAAGGTGCACCCCACAATGACAAATCACTTCATTTTACATTCATTAACATATGAAACGGGTAGTAATTAAAAAAAAAAAATCACAACTGAATTTTTTTACTTTTAAATTTGAAACTTATTTCTGCATATTTTGAACCAAATTAAAATGAAACCCATATCAGCATGTAGATGATTTTACTTTAAAGAAGTGTTAGATATACCATTCTCTTACCCTGGACAGGTGTATCCGCATTTTTACCGGTGTGAGATTTCCTTGTCTCACCCTAGTGTTGAGACAGGGGGATTCCCCTGTTCCTAACAATGTCATGACGTCTCTTTAACAATACAATGACGTCACGTCAACAATCCATCAACGTCACGTCAACCCTGAATTTAGCATGTAACGTTATCATTACATTGTGCATATGATACACAATGAAAGAACAGGGTAAGAGAAAAAGAATCATTCACCCCCTTGTGGGTGTTCGGGTGAGATAGTGGAATCTCAACCCTCGGGAAAGATTCTTTAGTTGCCAAACACCCGGCAAAGCCTGGTGTTTGGCAACTTAAGAATCCTCCCCCTCGGGTTGAGATTCTCCTATCTCACCCCCATGGGGGTGAATGATTCTATTATTATAGAATTGTAACATATATCTAAATGGTTACAGAAAACTTCAGTAGTTCTTACTGATACTGTATATTTCATACAGTGTCAGAAGTAAGGAATTATTTAGATTTATTAAACAAAAGTGTTCTTAAAACCACAGACTGATAATATTTGTTACCCCTGGCCAAAAAGTAATTGATTAAACTGTCCTCCTGTAGATAGTTTGATTTAAACGTATAATGCCGGAAATTTTGATTTTAATAGTTCTGTTTGTGAATATAACCATCCTATATCTATGTACATTTTAGCTCATTCACCCCTGAAGACATACTTGAACTCTTCCAATTCAAAGGTTGGATTAGTCCATTATGAAATTTCAGGGGTGAATTAGTTAACTTAGATCAAAACTACTACATGTATGTTTTTTTGTATGTATTTCTAATAAACTTTGATTGTAAATTGAAAAATGTTTTCCAACAGAAGAATTAAGACTTGGCAATTATAAGGGTTTTACTGAAGTGTACTTGTTACACCATACTAACATACTTTTTCGTACCATTTGATATGTATTATAGGTTTCTAATACCTCAGTGAAGTCAAAATGTCAAATTCTGTATCCAAATACCACACAGCTTTATCATATCAACAGCACACACACAATTTATCAGTATTTACGAGAGTGTCAAAATTAATCTTCACGTAAAAAAATTGCGCTGGGCCACCAGATGTGGTTCGTTATCTGAGGGAATACTGTACCTATCAGGTAGACTGGGACAGACAGAGAGGGTTTGTATAGGATATACAACGACCCCACTATTTACACAGATCAACCCTATCTATCAATACAAACTCATTTATTACACATCACAGTGTGAAATTACAATATCAGTTCTATCTGGCTGGTACATCAGGGCAATAATATCACCATTGAAAATCCTGTTTCCAAATTGAAGGACTAGATAGAGAAACCTTGTTAGTTATAGATGCTGAAGGTTTCTGTTTACAGTAAAACCTGTAGTCCAGACATTTCCAGGTTTCTGTTTACAGTGAAACCTGTAGTCCAGACATTTCCAGGTTTCTGTTTACAGTAAAACCTGTAGTCCAGACATTTCCAGGTTTCTGTTTACAGTGAAACATGTGTACCTTAGTTCTGACATTTTCAGGTATTTCATTTTTTCCTGTTTGGAATATATATCAAGCGTTCATATTGCATTATCTCACCTGTGTATTGAACCTAGAAGCGACCTTGCGATTACGCCTCCGTAAAACAGGCGCCTTTGATGGGGCTTTCTTCTCCTGCTCCTTAAGGTTTGAGAAAAGCTTCACTTTCTCTGCTAGGCTACATCTGTAACAGAAAACATGGATTTTAGCCTCATTTTACAGCTTGTTTACACTCGATCATATTGTAAAACCAAATGACACCAATATTGAAAGATTGCAATGCTTTTCCCAATCTTAACTCATTCACCCCTGAAGACACATTTGAACTGTTCCAATTGAAAGGTTGGAACAGTTCATTATGAAATTTCAGGGGTGAATGAGTTAAATCACATTTCAATGCATACTCAATGCTAACTATGGACAGCTTTCAAATAGAGTACACCTTGCTGAATGGACTGAAGGGCATTATAAGGAGGTTTTATGCTGTAGCTCATTTCCAGTTTTGACATAAATTATTTGAAAACCGAAGTTCCTCTTATATTTGCTATGACAGAAGACAGCAGGCAGATCAAACGCTGTTCTACCAGGAAGAGAAAGTCCCGAAAGTGACGTACACATCATATTTCAAATAGTAAACAAACATCAGATGGTAAGTTACTGATCTGAAAGAAAAAAAGATCTTAGGTAAATGTTTACAATCTATAAAAGGAAGGAAAGTATGCAATACATATGTCGTCAGGCGGAACAATTGAAATACATAGGCGTCATTTACATTTATACATGAATATGGAAATGTTTGACCATATCATACATATAAGAACAGGTTTTTGTAGATTGCTGCAAGGAAAGTGTGAAATGTGCAATTTTTGTGATGTCATTGATTTATGTGTATGTCATTGATTTTTGTGATGTCATTGATTTATGTGTATGCAAATCATGTACAATGTAATTATGCCAAACATAACATTCAGATTTTGTGTGCACCTGTCACATGCACATTATGTGTGTACTTGACTGCATTACAAACACCACAGGTAGTTAATGTGTAAAACCTGTTACCATTTATCTGTTCCATAAATGAATTAAACAGATCTGGTACCAAGGTACATAATATTTTCCAACCTATTACAATTTTACACGTTATAAGGAAAGTATTTTTTGGGGGTGATAAATTGGTGCACCGTAAGTAACAGTAATAATGTACACTCGTTATATGGCACAAATCTGGCACACAATTACAGGGAATCAGTATAACACAACTGCACACGCTCTGTTATTGAACTATTGAAGCTAACTTTGTATAGATCTTCATACTGGCCACCCTAGTTTATTATCTACACCTAGTACGTATAAATTATAGGTACAATTAGTCTCATACATGTCCTCGACACCCGATGTTTCCAGTACTTGGGTTGTAATATGTTTCCGTTGGTATTCTTTGGAGATGTTATTGTTTGTTTGTTCAGAAACCTACCTGTATACTGATTAACCTGTTATTACTTCATGCTATAATCTGTAATGTTCCACTGAAAACCAGGAAATTTTCGCTCAGTCAAATGTTCACCCTGCGCCGGTAAAACTCATGTTAACCCAGTTTAATTGTGCCCCTTCATTTTTCTTAACCATTCATATTATGTTGCTTGCTAAAATTTGCAGTAATGATAAATTCGCCCTCATAACAAAGGGCGAAAGAAGAGAAAGTGATTTCCTGGTCTGCAGTATATATATACAGATGTACAACATTAATATAATTTGTGATAATCCTTACAGTCTTGTTATAATTTATTTTTAAACTTTGTGATAATCCTGTCATTATCTAAATCTTTGTAAGGACATTCTTTTAACTATGTGATAATTCTGTATTTATAAACTTTATGATAATTCTTAATTTTACGATAATCTGACCTTAATGTGATAATCCAGTCAGTTTCTCCTTAAACGATGATATCCCTCTCCTTAAACTTTATGATAATTAATCCTTAACTTTGTGATAATCTTTACCTTAGTGTGATAATCCCGTCAGTTTCTCCTTAAATAATGATATTCCCTCTCCTAAAACTTTATGATAATCCTGTCCTTAAACTTGATGATAATCCACAATTAAATCCTTGCACTTGTGATGCTATTCTTAAACTATTGAAATATCCTTAATCTTAAGTACATTTGACTTTGTGATGATAATTTTCCGACAACTCTGTAATACTCTTTAGGCTTTATGGTAAAACCTCCGTTTGACATAATCGTACAGATTCTATGACAAGCTGTCAAACCCGATCCTTTCTACCGCGTAAGTGTTAAAAAATGACTATACTAAAGAGTCCTTCAAACACATTTTTTTAAAAGCCAAAGTTGACCTTTGCTATCAGAGGTCACAATCATCGGGTACAGATCCATAACGACTTATAAATAGCACTACTCCACAATGCTCCTACGTCAGAAGTCTCAAACCTGTTACAGAAAATAATTCTCCGAGAGTGGATATTGTAAACGATAAACAGCCACATGCCGTCACCTCATTATTTTCGCTGTTCAATTTCAGTATTAAAATCACCGAAGCATAGAACCATACACAGGGACATTCATAAAATCACTGTTATGGTACATTATCACGATAATGGAGGGTTTTATATGGCCCTGTCATAACATTTTACTGCATTCGTTTTTCTATTAAACTTAAACACAACAAGTATTTATGTATTCATTTTCTCTGCAGTGATATTTATATACGACTATGTAACCATATAACTATCACAAACACATCAGTGTTGATAAAGGCAGAAAAGGTCTATCACGGAGTACATGTTGTGTTACTATAAGTAAACAAATAATGGAACAGTGACTTGCATATATCTGGAAAGAAGTTTCAGATATCTACATGTAGGCTTGCACTCAACCTTACTTCATTCATTTACCCCTTACGAAGTCCATGATATCTACTTTTAGCATTCAGCCCATTTCCTCGTCCTAGGAATTTAACTGTCAGGAGTTTACAACCAACTTGATACCCAGTCAAAGATATCTACCTGTATCAATCACCCTACCTGTTCCCTGGTCCCAGGCATCTAGTATTCACCCACATCGTACCTATAGTCCTTGCCCATCTAACTGTAGTGTTCACCCTACCTGGTCCCTATAGTCCTAGACATCTACCTGTATGGTTCACCCTACCTGGTCCCTATAGTCCTTGCCCATCTACCTGTAGTGTTCCCCCTACCTGGTCCCTATAGTCCTAGACATCTACCTGTATGGTTCACCCTACCTGGTCCCTATAGTCCTTGCCCATCTACCTGTACTGTTCACCCTACCTGGTCCCTATAGTCCTTGCCCATCTACCTGTACTGTTCACCCTACCTGGTCCCTATAGTCCTTGCCCATCTACCTGTACTGTTCACCCTACCTGGTCCCTATAGGCCTAGACATGTACGTGTAGTGTTCACCCTACCTGGTCCCTCTAGTCCTAGACATGTACCTGTAGTGTTCGCCCTACCTGGTCCCTATAGTCCTAGACATGTCCCTGTAGATTTACCCTACCCGGTCCCTATAGTCCTAGACATCTACCTGTATGGTTCACCCTACCTGGTCCCTATAGTCCTGGACATGTACCTGTAGTGTTCAACCTACCTGTTAACTATAGTCCTAGACATCTACCTGTATGGTTCACCCTACCTGGTCCCTATAGTCCCAGACATCTACCTGTAGAGTTCACCCTACCTGGTCCCTATAGTCCTAGACATCTACCTGTATGGTTCACCCTACCTGGTCCCTATAGTCCCAGACATCTACCTGTAGAGTTCACCCTACCTGGGCCCTATAGTCCTAGACATGTACCTGAAGTGTTCAACCTACCTGTTAACTATAGTCCTAGACATCTACCTGTAGTTTTCACCCTACCTGCAGGTCCCTATAGTCCGAGACATGTACCTGTAGTGTTCAACCTACCTGGTAACTATAGTCTTAGACATCTACCTGTAGTTTTCACCCTACCTGCAGGTCCCTATAGTCCTAGACATGTACCTGAAGTGTTCAACCTACCTGTTAACTATAGCCCTAGACATCTACCTGTAGAGTTCACCCTACCTGGGCCCTATAGTCCTAGACATGTACCTGAAGTGTTCAACCTACCTGTTAACTATAGTCCTAGACATCTACCTGTAGAGATCACCCTACCTGGTCCCTATAGTCCTAGACAGGTACCTGTAGTGTTCACCCTACCTGGTCACTATATAGTCCTAGACATCTACCTGTAGAGTTCACCCTACCTGGTCCCTATAGTCCTAGACATGTACCTGTAGATTTACCCTACCCGGTCCCTATAGTCCTAGACATCTACCTGTAGAGTTCACCCTACCTGGTCCCTATAGTCCTAGACATGTACCTGTAGTGTTCACCCTACCTGGTCCCTATAGTCCTAGACATGTATCTGTAGATTCCACCCTACCTGGTACCTAGTCCTAGACATCTACCTGTAGAGTTCACCCTATCTGGTACCTAAATACAAGATAATCTACCTGTAGCGTTCACCCTACCTGGTACCCAGATATACCTGTGACTTCAACCTACCCTGTACATTCTCAAAACTATCTTATAATGAGACTTTATCTTCTTTACTGTCCTATAAAGTCTAAGATATCTTCCTGTGATTCCGCCTTTCCTTGTACTTGATTAGATAGCTACCTATTACAGTATAGACCATCCTACCTTATATAGAGATACTGACTGTGTAATAACTTATACCTACACTACTTACTTGTGACGTTTAGTACAAGACTTACCTGTGACAGTAGTCCAACCTGTTACACGCTCAGATCCTACCTAACTAATTGTGAACAACAGGAAGTTGAATGCGTGTGTGCCTGATATACATAAAACACCCGTCAATAAGACCGACAGGGGTATGTCACTTGACTGCTCCCAACTTGAAGAGCAGGTTTCCATAATTCGCTACCTCTGATCCCGTCACAAAAAGAACTAGGTAACGATGAGCCGATGATAAGATCAGGAATTGAACACCACACCATGCTTTGATAGCATACAAGTAAAACCAGACAAACACAGATAATGAGAAATACTTTCTGAACTGTTTTGCAGGGAAATGTTTGTGGCAGGGGTCTATGTAATTTTAACCTGTTGTAATCAGAAACGTGTTTGTTCTTGAACAAACTATTGGTCCCTATATATATATATGATGTTCATATTTAAAGAATTTATGTAATATTTATGTCGGTATTGTCCTCTGAGTACTCTGTTGGAGACACGCTTATACATAGGTTTGTTTCAGAACTTTTAAGTATTTTTGTTGGTATTCTGATGTTAATCTTAGAGACAGGGGGAACACAGTGATAATTCTACACACAAGTCCCAAGTCCTTTACTCATAGAATTTTGATTGAAATAAATTGTAGATTGCATGATCACACTGGTACAATAATAATCATTTTAGTATCTTAACGTTTCATATTACCAGGTATGGTCAGGTCTTAGGATTACCCTAACACTCTACAGTAGAGAAATATATACGTATGCATATTGCTGAGACACTAAAGAATATACTGTTGTCTGTAATTACATACGTCGTATAAAATGACACTCCTCCTTTGATATGTTTAGGTTACACAATAACCATCCCTAATACGTTTATCACAGCTCTACCAAACACTCCCGCAAAAACTCTATTTTGATTATGAGATGAGAGTTCTATGTAAGGTTTAAGAGCAAGTGAAAATGGGAAGAGATCGCCGGCTGGGGCTACAAATAAGAATTTTGAGAGGGATTGAAAAACGTTTAGGAGTTCTACTGTATTAATATCTCTGTAATATTCATTAAGTTATCTGAAAGGTGTATCTATACCATGAAAATATTACTGATAAATAATATTTAACTGGAAATATCAGATTAAAATGTTAATAACTTCATTAATGAAATTTGGCAGGTGTAATGCAATTATAATACGTACCTAAAATGATTGACTTTAGATTTGTGAAACATAACATTGTTATTTTTTACTGACATATATACTTTACTATGTGTACTGTAGATTTCCTCAACAGAAAATAGTCACCAGACAATTAACCCACGCATACCTCATCCCTGATGTCACATTGTCATACACTGATTAGCATCATAAACTAATTAGCATCAGGTGTAAATATAGACCTGAATCATTGGTTTGTGTACCTGTACAGTATTTTCTAATGAACCTGTGTCCAATATTCGTTATGTATACCCTCCCCCTACACTGCTCCACATATATAACCCACATACTGGGGGAGCAAGGTTGTTTATTACCACCAGTGATTACACCAAACCCAGTAGTTCTAATTAAAGCCTGGTTATCTTGACAAGTATCCAACACAATTTTCTATGTACTTCACTTGCTGTTTTCAAAGTCTGCTTAGCTTTACTGCAAATTAATGTAAATTTTGAAGAAAGAAATTTCACAATTAAACAACTTATTCACAAATTTTGGCTACCCATCGGAATTATAAACACAGTGCAAAAAGTGTTATAATTTTGAGGAAAATAATAAAATACTTTTAAAAGCATTAAGCTAACAAGGCCTTTGATGTGGAGTGGACAATGTGATATATATCTTCTGTCAGATGGCTTAGTGGGTCAGCTATGATATAACCACAGGGTTATTAATTAATAAGTCTGTTATCATGTTCATGAAAATCTTGTGGGTTTTTGCCTAACGTCTTTAACTCACTCACCCCTGAAGACACATTTGAACTCTTCCAATTCAAAGGTTGGAATAGTACATTATGAAATTTCAGGGGTGAATGAGTAAACCATCTTTCACAAGTCTACCAGAAATTCTCACAGAATATTATGGACTCATCAAGTATCTATTTTCCAAGATAAATTTTTCTTTCTCATCAAGTTGAGCTGATAAATTTGAAGTTTATAACCCAATGATTTCTTCAATAGGTGTAATTTGTTATTATATCCCTGTACTTTTACAGCATAAAACAAGTAGTTATCAGTACAATAAACAAGATAGGTGGTATTCTTTAATTACAGTATTCATCAAAGCTATTAAGGAGGTATTAAAATTTTGTAATATATTTGCTAAACACATTATTTTATGAACAAAGGCCTTATTATATCACCACTCAAAAGGTCAAACCCTCCATCCAATTTCACAGCTCATAGCCTGAATATATGCATATTAAGGATTTGTAACAATTTTCATTGATAAAACTTGTGACTGCAGTATGTTATAGCTTGAATATTGATATCACAAATAATTGACTTATTTTCAGGGGGAAAGTGACCTAGCTAAAATTATATTTAAGGGGGTATGTGACCTAAAATTACTTATCTATCATAGTTACCTAAGCTACCATGAATATGTATAAGATCATACTTATCCACCAAAAAGTCCATGTCTAGTGATAAGCCTATCCAGATCTGTTGCAGTTCATAAATATTCAACAAATGCCCCCCCCCCCCCCCCCCCCCCCCCCCC